GGCATTTATTTTTTTGCTTCCCTTATCATCAGCAGTAAATTGAAGGTCTGCGAAAAATGCACAACCATATTAACGTGCTTGCAACATATATTCAAGTGTATCTAGTCCCAATTACTTACTGTAACCCAAATATGTTGTTGCACATATTTCTGTAATATCAGAAAGCTTCACTCTTTTGTGACCAACAGTCATTACAGCCTAGATGCCTTGGTTAAAAGCAGCATCAGTATTTTTTGGGTAACTTGGCTTTAATTCAAATTTTATATACCGAAAATCATTTCTATAAATTTAAGGACAAATAGGGCTTTTATTTGGTACACCTTTTTAATAGAAATCCTGCTCTGTTTTCTATTATGACAAATTCACTAAAATAAAGTGATTTTTACCTTTAGTTTTATACTGGAATTGTATCTGACAATTATTAAACAGAGGCGTACTGTAATTTGCAGGCTTATTTCTTGAATGGCGCACATGATCGTAGCTGACCTAGTGGTCACATGATTAGGGAAATACTCAAATGACTGGTTCTTGGTCATTAGTGTGGATGGGAGCTATCACAGTTGTGCAGTGTCAGCTGATACTTGCCAATGGGAGACTTAAAGTGTTACTAAACCCAGTACCCTTCATCCACTATATCTGGTCTCCCCAGACTCTGCATCCACTATATCTGCTCTCCCCAGACTCTGCATCCACTATATCTGCTCTCCCCAGACTCTGCATCCACTATATCTGCTCTCCCCAGACTCTGCATCCACTATATCTGCTCTCCCCAGACCCTGCATCCACTATATCTGGTCTCCCCAGACTCTGCATCCACTATATCTGGTCTCCCCAGACTCTGCATCCACTATATCTGCTCTCCCCAGACTCTGCATCCACTATATCTGGTCTCCCCGGACCCTGCATTCACTATATCTGGTCTCCCCAGACTCTGCATTCACTATATCTGGTCTCCCCAGACCCTGCATTCACTATATCTGGTCTCCCCAGACCCTGCATCCACTATATCTGGTCTCCCACAGTACACACAACAAGGAAATGCAATTATTTTAGTAAATATAAACTGCTAAATACCTTTTCTCATCAGAAGTTAGAACAGTCTTGTGGCTTCTATCAGTGTCCAGCCAAGCACTAGCTAATAAATTTAGGAGGAGTTTTCTTTCTGCTCTAGGAGGATGCAAAACTCCTGACCTCTTTCTGTACAGTGCTGATTGGCCCTGTAGTGATCACATGCACTCTCCCAAGAAAAACAAAAAAACTTCTCTAGTAAACTGAACATCTGCTGAGTGACTCCACACAATATGTCTTAGCAGGAGATAAAAGGGGGACACTGGAAGAAGGGGAGGATCAGAGAAGTCTGGTTTAAACATCCTTTTTACACATGTGCAAAATGCCTATGGTTCAGTCTGTCTTATCAGGAGATAAGTGGTCCCTTGAAAAAGGGGAGGAAAAGAGAAGAAAGGATCTAATGGCCTTATTACACAATGCAGAGGATTAACCCCTTAGGTTCCACAGTGAGTATAACACGTACGCTTTACTGCATATACAGACTGGTTGTACTGTTGTGGGTTTAGTAATACTTTAAGCCGGCCACAGAAAAGTTGAACACTGAACGAAACTCGTGTCGATCTTTGAATTATTCCTTTTCGCATTATTAGTGTGCCAGCTGTGACACGCGATTTTCGTGCCACAATCGAAAGTGCCTGATCCAACTTGCTGGATTTATTTATTGATTTAAAGAAATTAAACAATTGATGGCCTAATCTTATGAGCCATTTTCATTTTTTGAAAGACAGAACGTTAAATTTTCGACTCCTCTATGGCTGGCTTTAGGTTAACATTTTTTTGCGCAATATTCCATGCTGAGGGTATGATAATTTAAGAGATTTCAGACTAGAAAGGATTTTTGAATTTTTTATGTCAATTGAGCCCTGGTGGTCCTACAACAAGGTTTACCTACTTTTTTCCTAGGGTGACTTACTCTTTAACTGTGGCATTCTCACCCTTTCCTGCATGCTCCTGGTTTGGACTATAAGCAGCCATTGTACACACACAGAAGGGAACGTAATACAACTACAGAAGACAGAATCTGAAGCAGCTCTGCACGGCGATCAATCAGATTCTAGCTTTACTCTTCAAAGCTTAGAGAATAAGATCACCTTTGGGAACATGTCACTTGGTTCTCCCACTTTTAGGGTGGAACATGTGATATGTTCCCTATCCTGCAGCCTCCTCCCAATCTCTGTCCCCAACTCCCCCTCCCCACCTCTGTGACAGCAGGCTGGGGAACTTCTCCCGCTGTCACAATCTGACACACAGCCAAGCAATCGCATCAGAATTTGTGAATGAAAGCCTACAAGTTCTGTTAGCTTTTGCAACTGATGGCTTGTAGTACTCAAAGAACTGCGAGGGCACTGGTGAGCACTCTCAAAGAACTGCGAGGGCACGGGTGAGCACTCTCAAAGAACTGCGAGGCCACCGGTGAGCACTCTCAAAGAACTGCGAGGGCACTGGCGAGCACTCTCAAAGAACTGCGAGGGCACTGGCAAGCACTCTCAAAGAACTGCGAGGGCACTGGCGAGCACTCTCAAAGAACTGCGAGGGCACTGGTGAGCACTCACAAAGAACTGCGTGGGCACTGGTGAGCACTCACAAAGAACTGCGTGGGCACTGGTGAGCACTCGCAAAAAACTGCGTGGGCACGGGTGAGCACTCGCAAAGAACTGGGAGGGCACGGGTGAGCACTCGCAAAGAACTGGGAGGGCACGGGTGAGCACTCGCAAAGAACTGGGAGGGCACGGGTGAGCACTCGCAAAGAACTGCGTGGGCACTGGTGAGCACTCGCAAAGAACTGCGTGGGCACTGGTGAGCACTCGCAATGAACTGCTCCGTGCCATTCAGTAACTGCCTGCCCCTATCAGAGGTACGGGCAGGCGGCTACACTGACAGCTACACCCTGATCGCGGGTGCAATGCTTTACAGGCTCCTAAAAAAAAAAAAAAGTAAATGCACAGATGTGCATTTATAATTTTTTTTCTTAAAAGGTGAACTTATCGTTTAACTGAAGAAGCTGAAGTTAGATTCGGATTGGTTAGTGTGAACAGCTGCTCCAGTATCTCTTTCAGGAAATCCCCCCTATAGTGCACTAGCAGTGCCATGACCACCACAGTAAAATGGTGACATTCAGCCACCACTGAAGCATGCACAACTTGAAACAGAATTCATACAAATATGTCTACAGGATGTGCAGAGAACAGGAACAGAAAGCAGCATGAGCAAAGTAATGGAAAAACTATATTAAAAAAAAATTAAACTCATTTTATTTTCAGTGCTAAATCTTTTTTTGGGAGTTTAGTTTCACTTTACACTGTACAATGTTCCTTTAGATTTACCAAAACCATATAATATGAGGTCAAACCTAAACACTTTCAATTTGTATGCAATCAGGCAGACCCTTGCACTACATAATTGAAGGTAAATCTAAAGAAAATTGAACAAGAAATTTATATACTGTATGGTGTATTTGTAATTGCTACAGTGCTGTGCCTGACCACTAGAAGGATTTAGAAACATAGCTGCAAGCTAGCAGTAAATTCTCCAGTTTAGAGACATAACAGGCCATGGCTGCTCCGTACTGTCTATCTCTAAAATAATACATAAATTATTTTATCCCATGGCAGAAAAATCTGGACATTTCCCACTGGGCATAATGGATACCCTGAGGGCCCATGAAAACAAAAGTGGGGCAAAATATGTAATGGGCGCTATTAAAGTCAAGTTAAGATTGGAGTTTTCCTACACATTCAGCACATACAGCGACATGGGACTGCACCTTGAAAAACATTAGCATGTCTTGTTAGTGTTTGGTTGTTTAAAGGAATGGCATATGTACAGAAAAGCCAATAATACTGGGGTTCACAGGACTCTTACAGGCAAGTACTGTACAGCAGGTTTAGGCAAATGTGATCTCTGGCTAGATCAGCACAGCAGAGCATGCTGGGAATGTTAACACCACAGCTAAGGTCACATGATTACCCTTCCTGTCTTAGCAGTTTGCAAACTCCAATGTAAAGTAACATTTCATCCAAAAATCCCTGAATGTTTATTGCTACAACATACTCATAGTCAGAATCCCATAAAGGCAAAGTCACAGAATTGATCTCCTAGCTCTTATGCCTCCCAATAGTAGAGCTAAAAGGGCAAATACTTCCAGATAATCTGTTTTTAATCTGGAAAGACCCCAAAAGCTCTTTTTTTTTTTTTCTAAGTGTGAAGAAAAAAAAAGAAGAGCTTTCGTACCTGCATCAATAACAGTGTCACAGAAGGCAAATTAATTAGTAAATAATTCAGTACACTGCTAGCACCAAACTGTACACTAAAATACACAGATTCTGGGGTTTCCTCCCAGCCAATCACTTGTGTTGCTCGTTCTTTATTCTTCGGATTCCAGGACAGAACACTATGAACCAACAAGGAAACTTCTGCAGTCTCTTCTCAGGAAGACCAGGAATTTATTTGTGAAATACATGGTATTTCTTAGCTTTGTGGCACTTCCGTCTATAGATGGACAGGCTTAGAGATTATCACCAGTCCACATTATCAGAGTTTGTTTTGTTCATTAAAGTTGTTTTGGACTTTTCTTCACGCCTATTCAAGATTCACAAGTAGCCCATGTTTTCCAATCATTAGGGCTTACTACATAATAAGTGGTTGAGTCCATGTACAACAGTCAAAAATGGAACCCTTGCAAGCAGGGATCCTACACAGAAAAAACAAGGCCTCTAAAACAGGCCTTGTGGGATGAGATTCAGTGGCTGTGCAGTGCCTTTAGGAGTTGAGAGGTCTTAGGTGTTCATCTCAACAGAAGTCTTTCCGTTTTTAAACTGAATGAGCGTCACCTATCAACCAAACAGGCTATAGATCCTGGTCGATGTCTTTGCTTGGTCATCCCTGGAGAACTTGAAAGACCATACTCTCGTCCCAAAAGCAGCAGCCAACAGCTACCTCGTGTTTTGCAGCTCCTCCCGTAGCCAAGTGGGCAATGTCTGGCCCATCTTGTAGAGCAGCTTGGACAGCTCGACGTTATGGTCCCTATAATAGTCTGTCAGGAAAGCTCGAGACTGCAAAGAAAGAAGGGGAAAAAAATAAGGTACTTAGAAGTCACCGAAGTTTATGCACAATGAGACAAATTGTATAACAATTCAGCAATCAAGAAAGTTAAAAGGGAACAATAGTATGGTTTTGTATAGATTTATCATGAAGAGAACTAAAAAAAACGAAAATGAATCATTTTTTTTAAGCAGCCAGCAATGCAATTATTGACTGCCTCTACCACCTCGGTCAACGCAAGCTATTTTTTAAACACTATTTAAAGAACCATGAAGTTGTGGTCACATGACCACACTGAACCTTTTTTCTCTCACTGTTTTCTGAATGGGTGCGCAGCGGATGTTCTCACCCTGCTCATGTCAGTAGTGTAGATAGTGATGTGAGGGGGGGTGATCATGTACATGGTACATGACAGCCTTCCAGGGCAGGGAATGGCTGTGTGATGCCGACTGTCACACAGCCAGAAGTTTAAATAAAGACTGAGAGCCTAAGATATGGCTGTAGAGGATTGCTGAATGCTTTACATGAAGGTCTCATACAAAGATGAGCCATGGGAATAACTACACCTGGTGCAAGCCTAGCTAGGTATGGAATTTGAAACTGGAGTTCCACTTTAAGGAGAATATAAAATATTGCATTATAAAGTATCATAAGTATAAAGTATTATAAAATATTGCATCGTATAAAGTACAGGTACCTAGTGGTGCCTGCCCATACCAGAAGCAGCATCTGTTCTGATCAGAAGTGAGAGAGTACTTCCTGGTAAAGTAGCCTGCTCCCCACTTCCTACATATACATATTGACCAGTGAGGCAAGCCCCAACACTACCAAATAGTGACTTTTCCTGATCTGGCCGGTTTGGTATTCTGGCAGAGTGGGGGTACTGAAAGCTACTGTAAGTATATGTAGTCATCAATTGTTTTTTCTTGTGAAAGTGAGAGTTATTTTAACCCACTGACATCAAGAGTTTTGAACATCTGCCAAAAGATTGGCTTCCATAGTGAGACTTCGGATTACAAATTTGCAGTGGAAAAAAACCAAAAAGGTTGCCCAGTGGTCTCTTTACATTGATCTATGAGCCTTCTGATGAATCTGCAAGTGGAAATCTACTGCAAAAAGTGTGCAACACTGAAAGACTGGTGCAGTTTTTATAGGAAACTTACATCCGAATCCATATCTGGGTATTTCCTCCCCTTACTTTTCCCCAGGCATTTGGTTTTCCCACCATCCAGAAGTTGGCACCAAAATCCCTTCTTGGAATCAAACCTGGAAAAAAAAAAAAAAAAAAGACCAATGCTGGTATTATAGATTTTATGTAATGGTCTTAATGATAGACTTGCCTTGCCAAGTGAAAAGCATTCAGATTGGAAAAAAGTATGCTGCTCTTTAGCATGTATGTAAGATGAATTTTAGATTTATGAGAGCAATAAAATGCAGTATTTGTTTTACAAGGGGAACTCACAGCTACACAGTCCTGTATTCTCCATTGCTCTTGTAATACGAATGTGATTATTGTGTTTTTACGGGAGAACACTGTCTGCTTCATATGCAGATCTTCCACAGGACTGTACAATAAAGAGTCAGGAGAGAAAAAAAATGTACCTGGGCTACAGAAGGATTTGGGATCCTTCTCCGCAGCCCAGTAGAAAATGGGTAGGAAAAGATGGGTACTCACGCCAGTGTTTTGTGATAGTCCACAACATTCGCAACGCCTAAGAATTTCTGCACAGAATCCATTACAGTGGCAGGCTCAGTACGCAGCAACTTGCCATCTAAAACCAATATCTGGAAGAGAAGATACAGTCAGGATTCCTGTCATCCATTCAACTTTTAGAAAGACAGTTCAAACAACTCTACTTCAGCTGCAGTCAGAATTTAGAAATCATCGTTTGTATATTTGCGCTACTGCCCTGCCCCATGGACACCTTTCCTCTTTTATGCTAGGTTCAAACTGATCAGATTGGCTTCCATTACAAAAATCAGGCACTAAAATGCATTTAGGGACACTTTTTTTTTTTTTTTTTTAGTTCAAAGCATCCAACTGTCAGTAGTCTGTTATTTTGGAAACACCATATTCTTTGAAATCTTTTAAAGTGGAACTTTGGTCAGAAAATTAAGTCCTGTTCGATTACTTCAAGCTCGCCCCTTTTGCAGGCATAGCTGTGTAAAACATTAAAAATAAGTGCCTATACTGTTTAAAATCCAATAATACACTGTCTCACCCTGCTCTGCACATGCTCGGTTCTCTATTTTTAGGCACTGTGCCGAATATCAGAGCCACTGGAGACCAATCTGCTCACAGCCTAAAGACTTTCTGCTGCTCATGGGATCTGGGTTTCAGTTAAATAGCAGCCTCCAGCAAGAAGAAATGGAAACAATGCTGGAAGAAATTTCCAGCACACACCAATTTTGGTAGCATAATTCGTAATGTGGAATGTATGTTTTTTTATCAAGTTGGTATGGGTAAAGTTCCACTTTAAATAGGTAGACTACAGGTTCCTAGCCCCACCCATTGTAGCCCAAGTTATAGCGGTTGTAGAGAACAGAATTATGTTCAGAGCAACAGGAAAACTTTGTGAACAGTTTGCTGAAAGGTATGGTTAGACATGTTTGCATATGGATTATATAAACTGAGTGGTTGTCTAAGCACTGTTGGATTTTTTTTTCCTAAATGGCTTAAGAGAGATTTGTTTTACTTGCTGCACTGTAAATATGCACATAAACAATATTCTCTGAAATTCTTAAAGTAGATCTAAACCCTAACTGGATGACATTTCGTTTACTAAAAGGACTGTGTGTCATTTAAATAGGCATTTTTTTTCCATAAAAATCACATTTTTGTATTCACTTTAAAATCCTTTTTTGGAGTCTACTGAAGAACACAGAAGTTTATAACCTTCGGGTTATACTGTTGCCTGCAAGATGATTGAATACTGGTTAAAAAAAAAAGCAGTGCTGAGACCATGATTATGAACACAGAGGGGCAGGACCTGTGTCCCTCAATGGACTCCAAGAAAAGGATTTTATGGAGAGTACAAAAATCCTATTTTTATAAAAAAAAAAAATATTGCAATTGTTTATGAGATACATAATGCCGTAGCAAATAAATGTTATTGAGTTAGGGGTTAACTCAAGTACAATAATTATATTTTTTGCATCAATTCAAGATGTCCAAAGGCAGTCCAACTGAGGGATCACAGAAAACAAATACTAACAGGCATGAGAAAAAAAAGAAAAGAAAAAAGCTGCCTCAAAACAAAGACTACCATAAAAAACTAAAGGACCTTACGCCTGAAGTTGGCATCAAATGAGGTTGCAATATCCACCTGGTAGAACTTCGACAACATATAAACAGAAGACCAGGTGACAACCTTGAAAATCTGAGAAACTTTCTTGAGATTATAAGCTTGAATAATGGTCTGCGTGAGCCACCTTGAGATGGTGGAACAAGAAACCAGTGCAAACCTTTAGGATTACAAAAAGGAAATTAGTCCTGAAAGAAGCAGTGGCTTTGTGATGCATTCTCACAGTCCTAACCATATCCAGACAATAGTGAACAATACAAATACTGAAATATGGAAAACCAGAAAAGGTTCCTTGCAGGACAAGGCCATCAGTTCAGACACTTGCCTGGTAGAGGTAATGGCTACAAGAAACACCACCTTGTGGCTGGAAGTAGAGGGATGAATGTCTCTAAAGGGTTCAAACAGCTGTTCCTAAAGCACAGAGAAAACCAGATTCATATCCCACAGAATCACAGGGGGAATGTACCGGGTGAGCCATGTGGGAAACACCTTGTATAAAAGGACTTAATCAAAAAGAGTGAGAAGACAAAAGTATCTGTAACAGAACAGAAAGCACAAACACTGGTCCATACCCAGCTGCAGGAAGGAGAGTATTTGTCCCACGGAGTAACTCCTAGGATAAGCCTGAGACACACACCAAGTGAAGTATGCCTCCCATGTCCGATAATGGACCTTGTGAAAAGTAGACCTTTCTAGCTTTTAGCGCCTTGCGAGCGCATACTCAGAGATGCCCTTTTCCCACAGGTCCTGGACTTCAACAAGCATGCCATTAGAGCAAGCAACCGGGAAGCAGGAGGGCAAATCATTCCTTGGGACAAAAGATCCCGACTATCTGGCAGAGCCAACAAAGCAGTTGCCAGGAGTCTTGCCAGGTTGTTGCACCACATCCTTTTGAACCAATTTGGAGCGATGAAAATTATCATTCTTGTTATCTATCTTCTTCCAGCAAAGTAGTTTTGTGATTAGGTTTTAAAAGGGAGGAAATGCATATTTCAGGGTGTACTGATCCAATGGAGCCATCACAGCATCCACTTCTTCCACTAGAATATCCCTGTACATGGAGACAAAATTGTGCAGTTTGCGGTTAAAACTGGAGGCCAAGAGATCTACATCTGGCCTCCCCAACCTGCAACACAGATCTTGGAACATCTCAGAGTGTAGGGGCAACACCTGTGAGTCCAGGCACTTTTGAGTGAGGAAGTCTGCCTGTCAATATGCCTCAAATGTAAATTGCTGACAAGGCTGGAATGTGAAGTTCAACCCAGGACAGGGTCGACCTCTGGTTCTTCTCCACTGGCTGATGTACAACACTACTGTAAGCATTGTCCACCTGAATCTGGATCAAGTTACCCTTTAGTAAGATGGTCCAATGCTACAGAGACAGCCAAAGAACCCAAAGTTCCATTATGTTGACAGGAAGACAAGACTCCTTTTATGACCAAGTCCTCTTCACCAAAAGGGTGCCTGGGACTCCTTCCCAGCCCGAAAGGTTGGTGTACATCACAAGGGTCCTCCAAAAGACATGAAGTACTTTCCTGATTCCTGAGCCAGCAGGCCAGGGACAACCTGGTTTTCATTGATAGAAAAATCGATCTTTCCATAGACTGGATTAACTTATCCCAGGGATGACAAAATGTTGCATTACAGAGGTCTGGAGTGAAACTGGGCAAAATGGACAGCCTCAAAAAAGAGGCAACGATCAGACCCAGGACTTTCATGGAAAGAGTCAAATGGCATCTGAACTTGAGTTCAAATCTGAGACTATGGTGTCTGAAGTTTTTCCTGTGGAAGGAACACTTTGGCTTGAGCTATGTCCAGGGATAGAACCAGATATTCCAAATGATAAGTCAGTTCCATTGACAATTTCTGATGTTTCAGGATCCATCCAAATTGCTGCAACATCTGTATGGTAAAACATCATCTGACAGAGTCAACAGTTGATCGTTTTCCTCAACAAGCAGTTTTCTAAGTATCCCAAAATGGGGATATCACAAAAGCACTGCAAGGCTCGAACTGGGGTCAGCAATTTAATGAATACCCAAGGTGCAGCCGAAAGGCAGGGCCATGAGCTGATAGTGCGGCAGCCGTACAGCAAAGTGCAGGTATCGATTCCGCTAAATGCATTGAGGCCTGGCCGCTGTCGTCACTTCCAATCTCTGTTGTACATCACTTCCGGTGATTTGGATTCAGCCTGTGGAACGCATGCCAGTTCAGACACTCAAGAGTGGTGGAGCTTACTGGTTTATATCGACACCATGCAGTTATTTCAGTGCCTGAAGGCATACATAAGTATATTTCCATTTTTATTCTTTGCACTTTTAATAAAATATACTCCATGGGAGAGGCCTCTTTTTTCTAAATGTGTGTACGGTCATATTGTATTATGCAAAAAGAAGACCCCGATGACGTCCACTTCCTCCTTGAACTTTTTGGTTATGTGATATGCACGAATTGATGGAGATCTGGTAAGCTTTCAATCTTACCACACGTGGTGGTGAATTGGCATTGAGTGAATTTCACACAAATGTTGGGCATACAGTTGAGTGAAGTTTTATGGAAAATCATTGGATGGACTATGATTTGTTTATGGACACTATGACGCAAATGACCTATGTTGATTATTATTAGAGGTTATTATTAAAAGGTTTATGTATTTTTTGTTGAGTGGTATTGAGCAGCTTAAGTGGGAATAGCGCCTTTTTAATATTGAAAACTTTTTCACACATATGTAAGATGTAAGCTTATACAAGATTTTTGTTATTGGGTTAAGATATACTTTAAAAGTCCATCAATAGATCGAAGAAAGAATCTAATAAGTTGGGCTATAGGCAGATATATTGTTTTGACCATAACCAACATCATCTAGATAACAAGTGAAATCTCCCAACAGATTTTGCATCCTGCATGTATTTTAAGGATTTTTTTGGCTAGGGTGCAGCTTTTATTTTGTAAACAGAGAACAATATTACATCTTTTGTGAAACATTGCTTCTAAAAGGACATATTAAATGTAATTGACAATGGCATTTGTCACCTGGTTAGCGTGAAAGTGGTTTAGCCAGCGTTCGATATGAGTGGAGTACCATCCTGGGACCAGGCACCTGTTCTGTAGAGCTCTTAACTTTGGAGGAGTGTCAGACCCAGCAGTAATGACTTCTTGGAAGGTATATTTGAGGGCCACAGGGTCATCATGGGCTCTCTGGTGCTAAAAAGAAAATACAAACATAAAATTAATTTGCTGATCTCTAAATGATCTTACAAATTTTTGTGGGAAAAAGTTTTTCTTTGTTTAAATGACTTATACTAAACAGGCATTAAAAACCTTTGTTAAAGGTTGTCGTTGCCCAGCCAGAGTGAGGGGTTCAAAAATATTGATGGCGAGATGTAGTTTCAACATTACAAATACTGACACTATGTTTTTAGCATTGCTGAAGATCAAAAACTCTGTAAAGCAGCACAAGTATATAGGAGCCCTAAAGCCGCACCCCCCCCCTTCCCCCAAAAAACCCACTGCACCCCCTTACAAATAGAACAAAAAAAAAACGCTGCATATCAGTGTGTTAAAAAAATAAAAAAGAGACCACCTCATTACCCAGTCTTCTACCACCACCACCACCTCCCCTGCAGCTCTGATCTCAACTACAGCAGGTGACAAGCTGCTTGCCTCCCCACTCACTGCAAAATCTTTTTCTTGGAGCCTACTGGAAGACACTGGATGTTTTAACCTTTGGGTTACAATGTTGCCTACAGGAGTTTTGGACACTGGCAAAAAAAAAAAAAAAAAAAATATGTAGGAGAGCCCAGGCAATTTCTATTATCAGCATGTCAGTTTTGTAGCAACGCAATAGACAGAGCATAATCTTAAGTACAGAGGGGAATGACCTGTGTCCCTTAATTAATTTAAAGAAAAGGATTTTACAGCAAGTACAAAAATGCAATTTTCCTCATCATTCACTGAGAGACACAGGAAGACTTTAAGCTTTAAGATACCCAAAAGCAGTCCAATGGAGGTGTGGGTAACAGCAAACAATTACTAACAAGCCCCCCCAAAAAACAACAGAAACACTCGGGTCTGCCTGCAGCTCAAAGAGCTATCTGAAGGTCTTTACGCCCAAAAACTTACATCAGATGAGCCACCTAGAAATGGTGGAGCAAGAACCTGGGGTCTCTCTGGCACTACAAAAAGGTATCAGTCTTCCTAAACGAAGCAGTGGCTGACAGACTAACAGCCCAAACCATATCCAGACAATGGAGTGAAATTCCCTTTTGGCAAAATGAAGCTGGACAGGACAGGAGAACAATGCCCTGATTGAGGTAAAAGGCAGGAAACTACCTTGGGCAAGAAGGAAGTCCTGGGCCTCAATACCACTTTGCCCCTATGCAAAACCAGAAAAGGTTCTTTGTAGGGTAAAGCCACCAGTTCAAACACTTGTCTCATAGAAGTGATGGCTACCAGGAATACCACCTTGTATATGTGAATAGCGAAAGTAATATCTCTAATTAGTTCAAACTGTGGTTTCTGATGCTCAGAGGAAACAGATTAAGCACCCACTGAGTGACAAGGGAACAAACAGGAAGAGCAACATGGGAGGCTCCTTGTACAAAGGTCTTAATTAGGGAGTGTGAGGACCGTGGTCTCTAAAACAGAACAGAAAGTGCATAAATCTGGCCCTTGATAGAGTTGATTGTGCTGAGAGCCAAATGCTCAAATGCTGGTCCAGGACAAGCAGCAGGAAGGAGAGGATTTGTCCCATGGAGAAACTCCTAGAGTGGAAACTTCAAGACTAATACCATGTCTACTTTCTATGTCCGATGATAAAGAATTTGGTAAGTAGTCATCCATGCTCTTGGCATTGTAAGAGAATAAGGACCTAAAGATGTCCCACTGTCTCCCAAAACCAGGGCTATGACAGCCTTGTTACTAAATCCAGTGCCTGTGAAGCAGGACATTAAACCTGAGACAAAAACATTCTGACAATCTGGAAGAGCCCATGAAGCATCTGTCAGAAGTCTCACCAGATCGGTGTACCATAGCCAGCCTACAGCAGTATGGATCACCGGAATGCTTCCATCTCAATCCTGCAAAGCATACAAGGAAAAAGTTTCAGGGAAGGAAAGGCGTAGATTAGGGTTCACTGATCCCATGGAGCCACCAGAGCATCCACTGCTCATGCTAGAGGATCCCTGTACCTGAAAACAAACCGATTTTGTTGTTGAACCCCCAAATCCCTCAGGTTCAGGCTCTGTTGGCTAAAGAAGTTTGCTCCCCAATTGTCTATGCCTGGGATATTAATGGTGAACAAGGCTGGAACATGAAGATTTGCCCAGGACATGATCCAATCTACCCTTTTGCCTTGGTGAGGCTTCTTATTCCCCACTTATGATTGATGTACGCTAGCATTGTGTTGACCAACAAAATCAGGACTGGATAACCCTCCTGTACGATGGTCCAATGCTGCAGAGACAGTGAATCACAAGAAGTTCCAGGACACTTATTGGGAAAAGAGACGCCTCTGACAACAAAGTCCCTATACTGACAGGGTGCCCAGGACTCATCCCCAGCCCAATAGGCTGACATCTGTCTTGAGGATCTTCTAATATATCGGAAAGAAGGGACTGACAATCTTGGTACCAAACAAATCAGTCTATCCACGAACGTTATTGACTTGTTCAACAATGACCAAATGTTGAATTGTAGAGGTCTGAAGTAAAACTCAGCAAATGGATCAGACCTAGGAGTCTCATGGAAAAGAGATAGAGGGCTACTGGACTGAAGAGCTAAAATCTGAGATCAGAGAGTCTGAAATTTTTCATGTCGAAGAAACACTCTCGTCTATGCGGTGTCCGGGACTATACCCAGATATTCCAAAAGATAAAGGTTCAGGATTCATCTGAACTGCTGCAATGTCAAATCCATGATGCCCAACAAAGTCTGCTCCAATTGTTCCCTCAACAGAAGTTAGTCTAAATATCTCACAATGGGGATGCCACGAGGAGTCCAACAGGGCTAATACTGGGTATAGCTCCTTGGTGAACACCCAGGGTGCAGAACACAGGCTATAGGGCAGGGTCATGGTAATGTCAGGGTCCCACATCACAATGTAGAAAAACATTGATACAATGGAAGAATGGAAACATGTAAATGGATTCCTTTGATATCCACAAAACACCAGAAAGATGATAACAGACCTAGTGTTTGGTTTGTTTGGCAAAGTGACAGACAGGATGGGGTAGAAGAGAATGGTGTTCTATAGAGGGCATCCAAATGCCTATCGGTTGGGTTCTTAAAGGCAGGTGCATCTTCACCAGAATAGTAATCATAAGTGGGAACAGACTGCTTCTGCACTAAAACCTCTCTATACAGACGCAAGTCTAATAACTTATCAGGAGGTTTCTAATGCCTGTAGAGAAACAGTTGGAAAAGTGGATTTTAGTAAGTTTAAATGACCCAAGGCTTGAAACAATAGTGATAGAAGCAACAGACCGAACCACTGGTTTAAAAATGGTGCATACAGCATCCATATGAGCCAAAACAATGACAGACACTTTTTGGCAGACTACAATAGCCACATTGTAAGATTATGTTAACTCACTATGTTTAGTGTGAATGGGAGAAATCTGTTGAATTTCAGCCTGCAAGCTGAACAAAAAAAATCTTTATCAGTTTATGGCCAACTTAAGAGCAGAGGATAACATGACTCCAGGCTACAGACACCAGTGCTGCCAGTAGGTGTGCTGCAAGCAGCCCCTGAAAAATTAGTAGAAAATGAGCTGGGAGCACCCGGTACAGCTGGGATGTTCTCCCCAAAGCTCCAAAAGGACCCCCTTACTCCTTGCCAAGCTGCATGGCCAGGAAAAAGAGCAGGCTGCGTGCAATATTCCATCCAGCAGATGACGCCAGAGCTCAGTCCCACAGTGTAAAACCATTGCAAAGCAAAAACGGTGGGAATGGAGAATAAATATGTCAGCGACCTACATAAATAAGGCAATGTCCTGGTGCTCAGCCTGACCAGCCAACTCACTAAGAGTGTTTTCAGAAGAGGGAAAATGCTGAGGCAATGCAAGCAGCTGTGGGCATGAAAACTGTGCTACCGCTATCTCTAATTACAGTGGTCTCCAAACTGCGGCCCGGGGGCCGGATGTGGCCCTTTGTTTGCCTATATCTGGCCCTTCAGGCATTTTTCCTCCCACTGACATCAATGATGGGGCATAATTCCTGCCGCTGACATCGACCATAGGCACTATCATTCCTATTGACATCAACAATCAGGAACATTTCCTTCTACTGACACCAATAACAAGGCACTATTCCTCCGACACCAAAGATTGGGGAAGAAAAGATAGGACGTTGCTCACTCCCACTGGTCACAGTCTGGCTCCCCTAAAGTTTGAAGTATGGTACACTGGCCCTTTGTTTAGAAAGTTTGGAGACTGTCTTTTTAGAACAGAATCTAGAAAGTGCCCGATGCAGAACCCAGTACCTGAAGGTCACTTCCAGACTATTCCTGCAACATCCAGCCAAGTTGGTGGGATACAGTACTCCAACAGCCAGACTGAGAACATCCATGAGAGTCTTGATTTAAATTTAAAAAAATAAAAATTGAAGAAGAAAATAAGGGGATAGCAAAAAACAGGTTACTCATTAACACTGCAAAGCTGAAGAAAGACATCCATTCTCCTAGGACATTAGCAGGGGCGGACTGACAACTCATGGGGCCCCCGGGCAATAGAGGATCATGGGGCCCCTGTGTCCTTGCCCAAACTCAAAAAAGCCTATGAAAAAGGTACCAGGGGCATCTCATGGGGCCCCCTACTGACCCCGGGCCCTCGGGCAGTGCCCGAGTTTCCAAATGGTCAGTCCGCCCCTGGACACTAGTAAAACTGAGGTATGCTGATAGGAGGGATTATCCTGGGCTGACCTATTGTCTTTTTGTTTGCCAGTGTCTAATCCTCCTGTAGGCTGCAGTATAACGTGAATGTTAAATATGTCCATCAATGGACAATACATTTTTCTGGTAAACTAGATTAATCAATAATGTAAAAAAAAATGAAATAACACTGTTGGTCTATACATTTTTGTAATAGCAAAAAAATACAATAGAAACTTGTATTAGCCACCTAACAAATAAGTTACCTGATACCAGGAGTAAGCGCGGTCTGCAGGATTAATAAGGATGGTGATGAGTTTAGCTTTGGTGAGCAGTGCAGCCACACGCCTGGGAACTACTTCTGAATCAAAGTAGTTGGCGCTCTTCTCAAAGTACAAGTCTGAAGTGGTGTTGGATGGAATGGGAAAAAACTCCATATACCTGGAAAAACAAATACACATATTCATTGCTGTTAAGATTTAGAATGACAGTCGCTTGCCTCATACTATATAAGCTAGGAATGCACCAGTGACTGCCAGATAGAGAAACATTTTTTACATTTTGCTATACACATTGCAGGATCTTTAAGGGGATAAAACACAAGGAATAAGCCTAGCCAGGTATGCTCATTTTTTCACATATACTTCATCAGACCTAGTGTTTTTGTTTGGAGGGAAGAACCCCTTTTCAACATAATTCTAAGTATTTAGGGCTTGTTAACCATTGTTTACTATGTGCCTTGTGCACACAACAATGCTGTGTTGAGGGAGGTTGCATTTTTATACAGCACAACTCATGTACTGTGGTGCATAGACTTTAATCAAGTGTTGTTTTGTGGCACTTTAACCACTTGCCTACTGGGCACTTATAACCCCTTCCTGCCCAGGCCGGCTTTCAGCGCTGTCGCAATTTGAATGACAATTGCACGGTCATGCAACACTGTACTCATATTAAATTTTTATCATTTTTTTACACAAAATAGAGCTTTCTTTTGGTGGTATTTACTCACCGCTGGGTGTTTTATTTTTTGTGCTATAAACAAAAAAAGAGCAATAAAAAAGTTTTTTCTTTGTTTCTATTATAAATTTTTCTCCTGCACTGATGTGCGTTGATGAGGCTGCACTGACAGGCAGCACTGATATGCAACAATGATGGGCAGCACTGACTGACGGCACTGCTGGGTGGCACTGATGGGCACAGGTGGGAGGCAGTGCTGGCTGGCCCTGCTGGGCACTGATCATCAGGGCACTGATTATCAATCCCCTGATTGGTGCCGATCCGTCCTCTGACAATTTCTGGCCATCGGCAGTACTTTCCTCACGCTGAAAGTGCAGCCGATAACCGGCAACTGCATTTACCTGTGATCTGCTGTGTCATTGGACACAGCTGATCACGTGGTAAAAGGCCACTGTGATTGGCCTTTTACGACATCAAGTGAGCAGCTGTGTCCATAGGACACAGCGATCACAGGGATCGCCTATGGCAGTGGTTCTCAACCTTTCTAATGCCGCGACCCCTTAATACAGTTCCTCATGTTGTGGTGACCCCCAACCATAAAATTATTTTCATTGCTACTTCATAACTGTAATTTTGCAGTGGGGAGGAATAGCGCCCCATCACTGATGTCAGTGGGGGGAATAGTGCCCCATCATTGGTGTCAGTGGGGGGAATAGCGCCCCATCGTTGGTGTCAGTGGGGGGAATAGCGCCCCATCGTTGGTGTCAGTGGGGGGAATAGCGCCCCATCGTTGGTGTCAGTGGGGGGAATAGCGCCCCATCGTTGGTGTCAGTGGGGGGAATAGTGCCCCATCGTTGGTGTCAGTGGGGGGAATAGTGCCCCATCGTTGGTGTCAGTGGGGGGAATAGTGCCCCATCGTTGGTGTCAGTGGGGGGAATAGTGCCCCATCGTTGGTGTCAGTGGGGGGGAATAGTGCCCCATCGTTGGTGTCAGTGGGGGGAATAGTGCCCCATCATTGATGTCAGTGTGGTGGAGGGGGAAATAGTGCCCCATCTTTGGGGTCAGGGGGGGGAATAGTGCCCCATCGTTGGTGTCGGTGGGGGGAGGAATAGTGCCCCATCGTTGGTGTCAGTGGGGGGAATAGTGCCCCATCATTGGTGTCAGTGGGGGGAATAGTGCCCCATCATTGGTGTCAGTGGGGGGAATAGTGCCCCATCATTGGTGTCAGTGGGGGGAATAGTGCCCCATCATTGGTGTCAGTGGGGGGAATAGTGCCCCATCATTGGTGTCAGTGGGAGGAATAGTGCCCCATCATTGATGTCAGCGTGGTGGAGGGGGAAATAGTGCCCCATCTTTGGGGTCAGGGGGGGGAATAGTGCCCCATCGTTGGTGTCGGTGGGGGGAGGAATAGTGCCCCATTCTTGGTGTCAGTGGGGGGAGGAATAGTGCCCCATCGTTGGTGTCAGTGGGGGGGAGGAATAGTGCCCCATCGTTGGTGTCAGTGGGGGGGAGGAATATAGTGCCCCATCATTGGTGTCAGTGCGGGGGGGGGAGGAAATAGTGCCCCATCATTGGTGTCAGTGGGAGAAATAGTGCCCCATTGTTGGTATTAGTCACACAAATGATGGGGCACTATTCCTCCCACTGACACCAATGATACTTACCTTGCTGACCCCTGCTCCAGCCTGGGCTCGCTCTCTCACTTACCTGTCAGCTGTCTTACTTCTCTGGCCGCTCTCCTCTTCACTTACTCCGGCAGTTCCCTCGATCTTCTCTACGCGCGCTGCCGCTCGGCTCCTCCTCTCCAAGCTCCACCTCCTCGCCGGTGATTGGCCGCCTGTGTGCCTCTCCTGAGCTACAGTTCCGGTGTCCAATCAGCGGCGAGGAGGCGGAGTTGTTGAGGAACAACTCCTGGGACACGAAGGAAGCTCTCTGGCCTGCCCTGATGCTTGAATTCGTTGTATGAGGGGAGTTATTGGAGTGTTACTTACTGCCTGGAGGAGGATCAAGGTCGGTGGAGGCAGTGGAGGAGATTAATATCTGGCAGAGATATATATAAAAAAAGCTCTGTGACCCGCAAGGGTCGAATGTGGAAGGTGAGGGGGCATTTCTGCTATTGAGGGGAGTCACGTCAAGATTTTCACGAAGAGCACTATTGTAGCATGGAGTGACATTATTTGAACACTTTTCTATAATTTTGCACAGTGTGGCATCACTATTTAATTTATTGTAATTAATATTTCATGTAAATTGGTATTATTAATTGTATTTTAGTATCACTTTTGCACAGTCTAAGAGATATTAGTTGTTTATCACTATATCACCAGGGATATATTATGTATATATGAAGATATTGCACTAGTTTTTCATTCATTATTATTTATATTATTATTATTTGTATATCTGCATAGCTTAAGAGTTATCATTTGGGTATCATTATACCACTAGGGATGTGATATTTATATATGGGGATATTGCACTAGTTTTTGATTATTTAAGTTGAGCGCTTCACCACTTATATTATTTTTGTTTTACATATCTTGCGGTATAGAGAATTAGGTGATAGCAGCTAACTCACTAGGTTCTGTGGAGCGCAGGGGGATTTCTGTATATTTATTTCTGCGGAGTTGTTGAGGGATCCCGGAGGTGTGGCCAGGTGACAGGGCAGCGTGTCATCCCGCCCACACATCGACTGAGTCAGAGGAGCGGTGTCTCGGTTCCTAAGACCATCGGAAATATGTGTTTTCCGATGGTCTTAGGCGACCCCTGGGAAATGGTCGTTCGACCCCCAAAGGGGTCGCGACCCCCAGGTTGAGAACCGCTGGCCTATGGTGTGCGGGAGGACGTCATATGACACCCTCCCAGAATTGGACAACCGCGCTGTAGCCATCATTCGCCTATAGCGCGGTTGGCAAGTGGTTAATAAGATAAAAAAAAAAAAAAAACTTATTGAACAGTGCCTTGCAATTTAATAATACAAAGCGCCGAGCTTACACAATGGTTTTAGTGTTGGTGTGAACAAGCCCTTTCAGCAATTAATCTGTCCCCCATCCACCGAATTACACTCAAAAAAACAGATGTGTTTCTATGTGAGTCAATGTGTATTTTGTCATGCTTTAATCTGTGTTTTTCTGCATTTTAACACCCTCAAGAATGCACCAAAGCACAAGTATGTTTTTTGAATGCTTCAGTCTAAATGAAGCCTCAGTACATTGTTTTACTAACAAAGACTGGCAAGATAAAAATGGAGGCAGTATACCAGTCAATCCCCTTGTGGTAATTCTGCCCATTGAAGAACTGGATCTCCTCAAAGGTCTCCGAACTAGGATAGTTACTGCTCAGGTCTGGGTGCATTCCTAGGAAGAGGTATAATGCAGTGGTTCCTGGGAAGGCAGAGAACAAAATGATTCAATATTGCAATCCCATTAACTTTCTGTTAATATTACTAGAATGACAAACACAAATATGGCCCCATATAAAAAGTTGCTTAGAACGTTCGAAGAATGGTCTATAGACTAGATAAAGAGACATTTTTTACAATTTTACACTTGGTCACCTGTGTCTGTTGGTAGTGTCATAAACAACATTGAATATACATGTAATAAAGAGAGACATTCAAATTATGATTTCATATTACCCTGGGGAAACAACAGTGACCAGCTTGAAGGATAAGTTCACCTTTAACCAAAAATAATAAATGCACTTTTTTGCAGGTAAAAAATTGTGGTTTGTTTTTTGTTTTGTTTCTGGAGCCTCTAAAGCATTTCACCTCTGACCTGTCAGTAAATATCTGCTTGCCTGTACGGGATGTACAAGCAAGCAGATACAATGACAGGAAGGCTGAATGAACTACCATGACACTGTGGAGCACCGTGGTAGTTCATTGACATCTACAATCCGACAGCCACAAAGGCTTCTGGAACTTGTAGTTTTCCCATGCACAGAATAATGTGAAAGTCACACGGCCGGGTGGCAGCAAGCGGGGGGGGGGGGGGGGGGGGGGGGGGGGGGTGTGGGGGGGTGGTGGTTGGGGGAATGGGGTTGAGGGAGGAGAAGATCCCCCGCTAGCTGTCACAATGGAGATGGGTGGGGTGAGGGTGCCGATCCATTCTTAACATGTTACACCCTGACTGTGGGTTTAATGTGTTATGAAAGGTGGACTTATCCTTTAAAACTTTCTAACTCATCTGTTATTTTTCCCAAGATCTCTTGGCCATCCAAGTCTTCAGGCAACCAGACAGACATATATAATAGGGCCTAAAATTTGTAGACAGCTATGTGATGCCAACATTTTATTTATATTTAACATTTTTTTAAGGAAGGCCCTATTGCGTTTTCCTGTGCACAAATCCACCACCATAACCATAAAGGCATGGTTTATTGTGTTTGGTGTGGAGGAACTCAATCGGCTTGCATAGAAACCTGACCTCAACTCTATGAAAAACTATTAGATGAACTGGAGTGCTAATTGCAAGCCAGGAGCTACAATCCAAACTGCTGTGGAAGCCCTTCCCAGAAGAGTAGAGGCTGTTATACCTACAAAGAAAGGCCAACTCCATATTAATGCCTATGGTTACGAAATTAGATGTTAGGGATTTCGGAAATCTACGTACAACGTGCGCTCTTACACAGATTTCAATCAACTTTTCTACAAATTATATATTATTACAAAAATATATAAAATAAGCTGCCTTGTATTCAACACGGAAGAACATAACCTTTTAGATGAAAGCATATCACTATAGGGAGGGTTTGAAAGAACTGACACTGTTGGTGTTGCCTATAGCTAGCAAGCTGGAACTATTCACTTTCAAATGTGTTAGTGGTCACTGTTGCATTATTAAAGGGGCTCCTCTCCTTGTGATTCCACAACATTACCGCTGTCATTTTTACTAAGTAAAATAGAGAACAACATTGGAATGCTGTTGCCATCAGATTGCCATCTACACTGCATGGCATGGGCCAGGTTTCCTCAATCTAGAGGCTGAAATTTAATGCATTTGGCCCCTTTGGTACTTATTATGTGTCCCTCAACAGCTAGTGGTCAGTGTTTTTCCTCCCTAGATCCTTACTCCAGCAAACAATGAAAAATATTAATTTTACTGGTTTTTCGTAGAAAATTTTGATTTCGTACATCAATTACTTTTTTCTGTATGGTTCTTACACTTTGCTGCATTTTATTTCTGTGTTCTTTTACAATGGATCTTGCTTAGAGGAATGTGGCATCTGGAACTTTTAAAGGGGTTATTGGGAGCCCATTTGGGAAGAATTAGTTTGCCAAGGTCACATCAGTGATCTTTAGTGATCTCATGTAACATGTTCCCAGTTTCTGACAGTCTCCTGTTATCCAATTTCTCCTGCAGCATATCTGCATTCTTTGGCCATCTCCTATAGGATGTTTACATCTCTGACAGTTTTCTGTAGCATTATATACATTGAATTTTACGTGTGGCCCTTGGTGATGTCAGGGGCTGTACTCAAGTCAAGTAAGTTGTTCACCTCTGATCAACACTCTCACACATAACAAACATCCACCGCAGCTGCCACACTTCCCAGCAGCTGTGCCAACCAATCAAGTGCTTCACATTCATTCTGGTCCATGGTCAGTCTATAACTGACAACTCTTCTTTTCTCACATTATTTTCACCCACCTCCTCACATCCTGTACTAATCCTGGCTCCCGCTGTGCACACACCACATCCTGTATTAATCTCAGTTTCCCCTCTTTTCATACTCTTTATCAAGTAGTAATCCTTCCTCTCGGTCTCTTCTGAAAAGCCCTGACTAATGGTCCCCCTTCCCAGGGGACAAATATAACACAGTATATGAGAAGGTGTTAGAAGCAGACAAACACACACCATCAGAATTCTATCCCTCTGCTAGGCATTGAACGGGAGTATGGGAGAAATACCTGTTTTCTGAGGTCCGATTATAAGCAATTTGGGAAAGCGGTCACACGTCTTCTCCTTAGACCAAATGTCTTTATGGCGTTTATCCTCACAAGGATCCTGTAGAAAAATCATAATTCTGTTACTGGCCTATGAATCACAGAAACGTATTTTACTTGGGGAAGGAGAAAAGTTGACCAGGCTGATTAATGGAGTCACTGGCCGGCAAATCATTTCCTTACCTTATTCTGTGTTCTAATCTAGTTTAGTATGGGAAGCGATGATTGAGGTCTGCAGAGAATAACCCCTCACCTTCCCTGAGGACTTGCGGATTGCAGCAGGCTTGGCTGCTCTTCAAGTCCCAATCACTGTAAGCAGCCAAGTGGTCAGAGAGAACTAAATGGATGCACAGATCAAGCTGGGATGTATAGGAGGTGATTACCGCCAAATCACTTCCAATATATAAAGCAGCAGGTAACATAAGGTGAAGTCTGCAAGTGTACGGCTAATTTCACAGATACAAAAAAGAGCAACAAGACATTTTAGGTAGCATATTATGCAAACACTGAGATAGACACATGTATATGTTCTTTTTCCCCCCTCAGTTGTCAAGCCCAAAATATTTTTAGGTTTGATGAAATTTAACCACATGCCCTCCTGAGGATTTACCCCCCTTCCTGACCAGGCCATTTTTTGCATTACGGAGCGGTGTTACTTTATCTGACGATTGCGCGGTCATGCAACGCTGCACCCAAATTAAATTTACGTCCTTTTATTCCCATGAATTGAGCTTTCTTGGTATTTTATCGCCTGAGCGGTTTTATTTTTTGTGCTATTTTAAAAAAAAAAAAAAAGACCAACAATTTTGAGAAAAAAAACTGTTTTACTTTTTGCTATTAAACATGTCCAGTAAAATAAAAAAATAATAAAAAAAAAAAAAACAAATTTCGACATAAATTTAGGCCAAAATATATTCTGTGACATGTCTTTGCAAAAAAAAAAAAAAAAATCCAAATACGTGTAAATTATTTGGTTTACTAGTAATGGCGGCGATCAGTGGCTTATAGTAGGACTGCGGTAAACATTCTGACACTAGGGGGAACTGACATCCCCCAGTGACACCAATACAGCGATCAGTGCTATAAAAAAATCACTGACACTTTACTAATGGTACTGGGCAGGAAGGGGTTAACATGAGGGACGATCAAAGGGTTAGCTGTGTGCTGGGAGGTTTTTTTTTTTTTTTTTTTATTACTAGGAGGTGGTGTGTGTTTCACTGTAATCACACCGCTCTGGTTGGCTATCCGGAGCAGTGTTCCTGAGCTGATAGGGAGGAGGACTGTTAGTAAACAAAAAACAGTCCTTCTCCTCGTCGGTGATCATTGGAAATTACCGGGCGCCGGCGAGTAATTACTGGATGGGACCCAGTGATTGACAGCCGTGTCCACAAATGGCGGTGCGGGTAGGGCGTGTGCCCCTCACCTGGAAATGCAAAATCACATTATATATATATACAGTTGCAAGAAAAAGTATGTGAACCCCTTGGGATTATGTGGAGTTTTGCATGAATTAGGCATAAAATGTTCTCTGAACGTCATCTAAGTCACAACAATAGAAGAACACAGTCTGCTGAACATAATACTACACAAATATTAGATGTTGCCATGGTTTAATTGCACATAACATGTAAACATTCACAGTGCAGGGAGGAAAAAGTATGTGAACCTTTGGACTTAATAACTGGTTGACCCTCCTTTGGCAGCAATAACCTCAACCAAACATTTCCTGTAGTTGCAGATCAGACCTGCACAACGATCTGGAGTAATTTTGGACCACTCCTATTCACAAAACTGTTTTAATGTAGCAATATTCTTGGGATGTCTGGTGTGAATCGCTCTCTTAAGGTCATTCCACAGCATTTCAATCGAGCTGCGGTCAGGACTCTGGCTGGGCCACTCCAGAAGGCGTATTCTGTGCTGTTGCAGCCATTGTTTTGTTGAATTACTTGTATGCTTTGGGTCATTGTCCTGTTGCATCACCCATCCTCTGCGGAGCTTCAGTTGGCAGACAGATGGTCGTACGTTTTCCTGCAAAATGTCTTGATAAACTCTGGAATTCATTTTCCCATCAATGACAACAATCCATCCAGGCCCTGAGGCAGCAAAGCAGCCCCAAACCATAATGCTCCCTCCGCCATGTTTTACAGTGGGGATGATGGTTTGATATTGGTGTGCTGTGCCTTTTTTTTTCCACACATAGTGTTGTGTGTTCTTCCCAAACAACTCAATCTTGGTTTCATCTGTCCACAGTATATTTTGCCAGTAGTGCTGTGGAACATCCAGGTGCTCTTTTGCAAACTTCAAACGTGCTGCAATATTCTTTTTGGACAGCAATGGCTTCCTCCGTGGTGTCCTCCCATGTACTCCATTCTTGTTTAATGTTTTCCTTATTGTAGATGTGTCAACAAAAATGTTAGCATGTGCCAGAGATTTCTGTAGGTCTTTAGCTGACACTCTGGGATTCTTCTTTACCTCATGCAGCATTCTGCGCTGTGCTCTTGCAGTCATTTTTACAGGACGACCACGCCTAGGGAGAGTAGCAACAGTGCTAAACTTTCTCCATTTGTAGACAGTCTGTCTTACCGTGGACACATGAACATCAAGGCTTTTGGAGATACTTTTGTAACCCTTTCCAGCTTCATGCAAGTCAACAATTCTTGATCGTAGGTCTTCGGAGAGCTCTTTTCTGCGAGGCATGGTTCACATCAGACAGTGCTTCTTGAAACCAGTAAACCCAAAACAGGTGTGTGTTTTTTAAGGGCAGGACAGCTGTCAGCAACACATCCAATATCATCACACTGATTGGAGTCAAGGTTGGCTCACTCCTGGCTCCAATTAGCTCTGGGAGAAGTCATTAAGCTAGGACCTCACATACTTTTTCCTCCCTACACTGTGAATGTTTACATGTTATGTGCAATTAAACCATGGCAACATCAAATGTTTGTGTAATATTATGTTCAGCAGACAGTGTTCTTCTATTGTTGTGACTTAGATGACGTTCAGAGCACATTTTATGCCCAATTCATGCAAAACTCCACGTAATCCCAAGGGGTTCACATACTTTTTCTTGCAACTGTATATATATATATATATATATATATATATATATATATATATATATTGTGTGTGTGTGTGTGTGATTTTGCACACCCCTGCCGCCCTATAGCAGTATTTCTGCTATGGGGCAGTGGGGATGCAGTTAAAGCTAAACTGACAGAAAACAACTAAATACACAGCTGCAATACATATATAGAAGTTGTCTATCTTGTCAGATGATTTGTAATTCTATAGATTCAGGGTTAATATACACAACCATATCAGGCCATATAGTGCACATTTTAGTGTTCTCCTCCGCCAGGGAGCTCACAGAGACTACGTACAGCTGATAAAGTTGACGGCTGTACACGGGTACACTTGTACTGTATATGGGCAAATACTTGCATAAACACAAGTATGCGTACAGGCGTAGATCGCTGGACACAGACTGTCTATATTCCGAGATGCATGCTGAAATGCATATGCGTGGTCTGACTTTCCTCTACTGCAGTTAAGCAATAAAGCTAGGTTACTGCTCCATTCCCTAAGCTTGTAACTGAATGAAAATTATTTTACGGGATTTCTTTTATACCTGCCGAAGTTCAGTTTTAATGTTCTGGTGAAAACAAATCTTTAAATTGTACTGAGTACAGAATAGTGAAAATACAGAATATTGATGAGCCTTAAGCTGGACACTGATGGTTCGGATCTTATCCAGTTCAGCAGAAACAGGCTGAGGCTCGATCCATGTATGGGCAGATTGGTTGTACTCAAGTCAATCCATCGATCGACTTGGGTACAACCAGCATGTCAGATTTTCAGCTTGCGATTATTGCCAGAGGCTATAGCCGCTAACAATAAGCGCCGTGTTCTCCAAGCAGAGATGGCTCCCCACGCCCCCCCACATCAGAACACTGGGCCTCACCATGTGTTCTGGGAAAGCTCGGGATCCCAAATTACATGAAAAGATAGTACAATATGCAGGAATGCATTTTTTTTGTGGGATTTGGGATACTTAATTTTCCCATGATCCTGCGAGAATATCCAGTGATGTCACCCTTGCTATGACAAGTTTGTTAGAAGTTGGGGGGTGAGGCAAGTATTTTTACAACTTTCATTTTTTTTTTTTTTTTTTTAATTGCTTTCCTTAAGAATTTTTTATTCATGGAGTGGGGCTGCAATATAAGAACTTACATTTTCATGCAAGCTTTATGCAGTGAAATCAGATTGTCTTGGCGTGAGATTTTGTAATTAGCAGATTGTGGCAAAGGCCATAGTGATATAATAAAACAGAGTTCATCCAATCACACCAACTATAAACCCTTGGGTGACATTTTCCTTTAAATGTGCATTACTTACGATGCAGGAATCAATATTTCTAAGTGCTTGAGCAATGGTACCGGTCTCGGTGTCAGTGCATACACACTGATAGGCCTGAATCATTATCCATGAGACTATATCCTGTGCAATACAGGATGCACTTTATGGATACTGCTTTAGCCACATCACTGGCAAAGGATGCAAAAATGCAACTATACAGTTGTTCAATTCAAGCTATTATTGTTCAAGTGTGTTAAAATGTTCTACACCAACGCATTCACTGATACTACCCAGTAAACTTTTCTTCCAGATCATATCAACAGTGTACAGAAAGGAGCCTGCAGTCTTAAAGCGGAGTTCCAAACTTTTTTTTTTTACTCCCCTGAAAGACAATGATCTGCCTCTTCTCAGTCGGTTTTGGCAATATATATGTAGATTTTTTTTTTTCCTAAATACATTTTATTGGTAATTTCTGTCTCCACTTCCAGTCCCGGTCGCCTAGGCGATTACATCATCAGGCATTCCCTAGGGCTTCTGAGATATCAGCGTCATCTATCCCAGCAATCCTAGGGAATGCTTGATACCAAAATCTTGCGTTATTATGAGACCGGAAGTGACGTGATCGCGGGGATTTCTTCATACTGCGCAGGTGCGAGATCGCTCCTTCACACTGCGCAGGAGCGAAAACGGGAAGTGCATGCTGGGTAGCCAGCTGCACAATTTCCCGGAAGAATGTCTGAGCGAGCTTCAGGTGCCCACACTTAAGATGACAGCGTTCACAATATGAGGGTGCAGTAAGTAAAGTTATTTTTTTATAAGGAAAGCAAAGGATTACAAGTACAGGTGATCTCAACTTCAATTGCCTAAGCTGCCACTCTCACATGGGTGCCTTTAGAAGAAAAATAATTAAACGGCTGGAACTCCACTTTAAGAGCAATAATGTCACAGCATCTACCTTTCTGTAACAGAACACATATAAATGTTCACATTCCACTACAGTCTTGCAAATGCTTTTTTCTTTGCAGCAGAATGAGTTTGTGGAGATGGATACATCTGCTATCTTCTTCAGTCATGTGTGAATCTGAACCACTGGTTTACAGCAAAGTCAAGGCCATACTGATAAAAAGTCTACAACTTCCCAAGTGACCCATAGTTGATTCTTATTCTGAATTTGTAAGGCAAACAATATATCATTCATGTATTGAGCTACACCTGTGGTTTTTGTAAAAATAATTATTTGGATTTCCGCATCTTCCATATATTAGTAAGGTGTGATGGCATATTGGGCAGCACAGTGGCTAAATGGTTAGCACTTCTGCCTGGCAGTACTAGGGTCGTCGGTTCAAATCCCAACCATGGCACAGCCTGCCTGGAGTTTGCACGAGAGGGTTTCCTCCGGGTACTCTGCGTGGGTTTCCTCCGGGTACTCTGGAGTGTGGGAGGAAATCGTAGACCCAGAGGAAACCCACGCAGGCATAGGGAGAACATGCAAACTCCAGGCAGGTGGTGCTGTGGTTGGGATTCAATCCAATGACCAATGAAAGAAGCCAATTAACCTACCAGCATGTCTTTGGAGTGTGGGAGTAAACCAATGACATGCTGGTAGGTTAATTGGATCCTATCTAAATTGGCCCTAGTATGTGTATGTATGAATGTGAGTTAGGGACCTTAGACTGTACGCCCCTTGAGGGTTAGGGACTGATGTGAATGTACAATATATATGTAAAGCACTGCGTAAATTGACGGCACTATATAAGTACCTGTAATTAAATAAATCATTTTAGAATGTCAATAATATGGCCCCCCCCCCACCAAAAACAATACTGAACATGTGATATTACATATGGCCATTTCCACACTGCACACAGGCATTGTCCAATGTTGTCACTATTCAAAAACAAGCCCAGACAAACACCATGCAGACATCTCTGGAGTGCATGCAGATAGGAAGTGTCTGTAAAGAGGCAAATAAAAAGTGAAAATATGTATTTTAGCTTTTTAAAAAGGAAAATTGTTTGCGATACAATTCTTTTACAAACTCAAGGTTATTAAGCTAGGGTTTACTAGCTACTTTACAGAACAACTTCAGAATGTCAAAAAAAAGAAAAAAAAAGTACACTGACCTAAGCAAACTAATAGACTTTTAGTAGTTTATTTATAAGGGTCACTGTTTAGGAGAAAATTTAGAATTCAACATTTGTGATGTCATCACTCCAATTCAAAAATAGCAGCTTCTCAGCAGAAAGAGGAGGTGCAAATCAAGGGACATGTCACATCCTTCTTTCTTACTCTACAGCAGGGGTGTCAAACTGGCGGCCCTCCAGCTGTTGTGAAACTACAAGTCCCATCATGCCTCTGCCTTTGGAAGTCATGCTTGTAACTGTCAATCTTGCAATATCTCATGGGACTTGTAGTTTGGCAACAGCTGGAGGGCCGCCAGTTTCACACCAGTACTCTACAGCTATGAGAAACTACAGTTCCCATCATGCATAGCTGTAGACTGAGAAGGCAGTGCATGAATGGGCGAGTACATTAGGAGTGTATTTCTTGCACTAAATGAGCTCGTGTACTCGCCCACATAGTGCTAATCTATATGGGGATACTGAGAGAGGGGAGGAGAGTCATGGCTGTCAGTAAATGATGTCATGGAAGGCGGGACAAACCAGGCGTCTCCTGTCTGTCTAATGATATGCGCATCAGTGGGCGGTTCAGACCCGGAGTTTGAGACTCCTGGGTCTGCCCACTTCAGCGAGTATGGATGGAATTTTCGCCACTGCTCACTGTAAGAAACTACAGCGGGCAGAGGCAAGACTGGTGGCTGCGGGAATACAGGGCATAGCGGCCACTAAACGGATATCACAGGCAAGGAAGCCTGTGATTCATATATTGCACCTCAATTTTCTCAGGGAGGATGGACTGGGGGGAAAAAATTTAACAAGATCTTTGCTGAAGGTATGAAACCAGCAGCACTTACACAGAAAAAAGGTTCTGCCAGGAGCTCTTCTATAAGTATGACAATGCTGAGATGCATTAGGGCCTCATTCATACTAAACATGACATACATGCATTTATAGGACATTCTTAACGCATATATAGAGTTTTTTTTTAAAAGTATAATTTGCACTTTGCTTTTAGATGTGTCCAGAAAAAAAATTAATTCTGTGCATCCAATGGCAATTTAGATACTTTGAACTAAAGTTTTGTTTATGCTTTCTCCTACATTTAAAGAAACCAATCACCGGAGGCTCGTGTTAACATAGCCTAAAATTTCCATCACTGGAACAATCAAATGAAATAGAATGCAGGGAGGTTTTTTTTTAAAACAAATTTCTTTATTTGCTATGGTCTACACTGAAAATGATTAACAACATTTTTCATTTCTTTTTGTAAATCTTATACTCCCTTTCATTTTCTTTACCCTATCCTGACCTTTCACCATGGACAAATGGGTTTACTGTCCTTTGCCCTGTTCTTGTTTAAAGATTTATATTGTGTTTTCCGATACTGTATACATTGCCTTTTTATTGCAGCCATGATATCGCTTTCATGTATGGTTATCATATTGTGGTACATCACTCTCATGTACGTTCTCATGCAGGTTCATACCCTGGAATTTGTCTGGATAAAAAGTTAGCTGACTCAGAAAGTTTTTCTTTCAGTTTATTTGGGTCAATATGAAATATCCACATTAATAATTGGTATTCAGATTTTTGGTGAAGCTTCAGGCTTTTTTAATTTTTCCTCTTTATACTTCCCTAAATACAGCCCTGATCTGACCTAAAGCACTGCAGCCTTTCCTTTCGCAATGTCATCACCTTGCGGAAAACTTCTTCATTGCCGCTGGCCACACCTATGCAGCGGAGTCTTCAAAACCCCAGGGATGGAGACATTTGGTTGATGGTCCCAAAAAATAGTATTTCTCAATTAGGGTGTCATTTGGGTTCCCGTGGGCTGATGCGAGCACAGGAACCCGGTCGTTCGGGGGGGGGCCCCGGATCCAAGTTGGAAGAGAGGACTCCATGATGGGAGATCAGAAAGGGGAGGGATCTGATGTGATTGGGAGACTCAGATGTGAATAGGGGACCTCTGATTTGAAGTTAATTTCATCAAGGTGGTTGTGTGCATTGTCCCAGGCTTCTCACTGATAAGTAACCTTTAGGTTTTTTACATTTCATATTGGGATGCCTCAAGATTTTGCATACTTTTAAAAGGTGTCACGACTAAAAATTAGTTGAGAAATGCTGCCACAATAAAGAGCCATTGAAAAGATTTAACAGATTCCTCCATCCATGCTACGCAGAGCAAAACGGATGTATCTTACGCCATGGCTACTGTATTTTAACAGCCAACCCTGTCAGCTATCAAAATACCGGAACAGTGCTTGCATCGGATTGGATGCTATTGGGTGCTATTATGCTGATAATTTTCCATCTGGCTCCTTCCATTTTTCATTCGAAGGATGTCAAGCAGGAGAGGTCAACAGGCCACCCATAAACCGAAATTGGCCTGGTTTATCATAATCAAGTGCCTTTGTAAATTCCAGGACACTGTATTCAGACTACAAGCGCTATTTCCATACTATGGCTATGAAGAAGGTCTTTCTGGACTGAAATGCATTAGCGTGGGTCGTGCTATGGGACGTTTTACTTTTCAATAAATATGATTTAATTTACTTTAGTTGCTGACATTCGTTCACAAATATCTATTTCCATACTAGTTCTCTATCAAACTGAAAAGTCATGTCATCCAAGCAAGGTGTTCTCTTACCTGCCACAAAGGGTCCTTTTCCTCTGGGAATATCTGGAAATACTTGTGAGCAAGCTCTACTGGAGGCAGAGTCTGCAGCTTGAGGTTCGTCCAGGTGTTGAGAAACTGCACTAAGTGCTTGAAAGTGTACAGGCCTAGGCGGTCATTGCCATAGTTAGATAAGTGGGTCATGAAAATGCTGATCTGAAACAACATTGAGTCACACACAAAGTCAGAAGACAGAGAAAAATGCAAACCACGCATAAACAAAAACAAAGTTTAGAAATAAAAGGTATAAAAAGAAAGCAGACAAAGAAATAAATGAAAATCTATTATAACATTAAGCAAAAAAAAAAAAATTAAAAAAGTATCATCCTTTCTTACAGAAAGCCAGCATTGAGAAGATGTGCTATTGCTGTTCTCTACTAAAAATGCTTGGCTGTCATGCTGATCCAATGCTTTTAAAGCCCAATTTCAGGAAAGTAAAAAAAGCCACCTTTGTAGTGGGGCCCACTAACACTGCAATGGTTAATTGCTGCTTGTTAAATCTAGTGGAGAAGAGGCTCTATCACCTACTTTACAACCCACCTCGGCCTGCTCCAGCTCTCTCCAAAGCTCCTGGGTAAAGAGTATTATAAGATAAGCCATGTAGAGCAAGTATATAGGCAGAAGAATAGAACATAAATAAGTCTAGGATGGGATGTCCGGGAAGGAAGGAAGAACTGCTGAACTCATAATCAGCTGTCAAAAGGTTTTCCAGGCCCAGGATTCATTTATACGTTAACAGAAAGGGTGTTAGAAATGGATTCTAAGTGAACTCCAGGTGGCGAGGAATGACAGTCCTGGCTACGGTTAAAAAATGGAGGCAAATTTGTAACAAATATAATGGGACCAGAAATCATAGACAGCAGAGTGATTTGGGGTTTATTCTGAATGATTGTGCCTTTTACTCTAAGGTAAATATTTAGAATAGATTCCTGAATCTTTTAATGGGAGGAAATTTCGAACAGATATGGGTCACATCTCCACCTGAACTTTGGCAATGCCAACAAATATCAGTTTTGAGCAAGCAGATATTCACAATTGCATTGGAAATACATTAGAATCAGTGCATGCATGTTGAAAGACTATTTGCAGGAAGATGGAAACAATTTAACTAGTTAGTATAGATGCCCAGATGTTCTTTACCATTTAAAATCTGTGAACATCTGAGCATCTATACCACCAAGTAAATGGTTTCCATTTTACAGCAAATAAATCTTTCCACAAGCATGCAGTGATTTTGATTGATTTCCAAAGCATTTGTAAATATCTGGTCACTCAAAACTGAGAAACACATGAAACCACAGGAGGTGGACCTCCGTATTTTCATTTGTTTTTTTCCAGTCTTACGTAAACAGATATTCGCAGTTGCATTGGAAATCAATCAAAATCACTGCACACTTGGTAAAAGGCCAACAGAATTACCAAGTGTATGCACAGCATAGTACTGCATATTTTTTAGTTTCTATTCCTCAACCCAAAAGTGAGTCAATACTTGTTTTCATGCAGGTGCCAAATCTGGCAATAGGGGAAAACTTCCCTACTAAAGTCACCTGTGCCATTCCTTTTGCTATTCCATCTAGCAGTATCTGGGCACAGAGACTACTGTACGCTCATTTTTGCTCCCTCTCTCTCATTTCACAGCTCTCCAACAATCCCTAGCCAGCAGCTGTGAAAAGTCTGTGTAAAAAAAAAAAACCAACTTTATTTTAGTCGGATGTCCAAAGCCTGTGTACAATAAGTCTACCTTGATAAAAAGACATCATCCTTCCTTTCCCAGTTAGCTGGAGTTATTTTATTGGCTACGCTATACACAGATACTGTTAGCTAGGATAGAAAACAGACCAGAGTGACGACCTACCATTGTGTAGGCTTGGTGTGTATATTGGACCACACTGTGCTGTTACAGCAGTGTGGTTCCAGGGCCTTTATTCAAAGAGTGGCTGAACACAATTACAAATCTTTTGCTATGTAATACAGTTTATTGCTATATATTTGATTGTGAATTGTAGCGGTTTAAGTGGAGTTTCACTTTAATATCAGTTTTCACTGTTGCGTGATTGGTCCATTTAACAGGAGAGAATATTTGCTGTACACAAAGGAACATGAAATCAGTGATTTGTCAAGGGCAGCACAGAACAGCGCAGACTGATTCCCGGAGTCCTTGTCCCAACTGCCCAATAAACACCTTCCAGGAAATCAAGCTCATGCTCTGCTATCTAAGAGAAATAAATCTTAGAATTTTCAAGCAGCTTGAGCATTATGTGTGTACTTCCATATATTTATCCCAGGAAGAACCCTGAGGTACAATTGCTGCTTCATTAAATATTGATGCTGTATTTAATAGCTCTTTTATAGCCTACAACAACCTACAGTTTATTGATTTAAGCAACTGGAACAATCTCAAAATTTGCACCCGACACTCAGCTGGCAGCCTTACAGTGGAACTGAAATTACAGTGAACATTGCAGCTCAATGTCCAGCTTTAGGAACCCAACATTTTGTAATGTGCACCTGCTTAATTTCACTTGAATAGACAAAGCAGATAGGGTTTTATATCAAAATTCCAAAATACTGTATCAAATGTGCAAAATGTCAATCTTAAAGAGAACTTAGGTGTGTTAAAATGTTCAGTCCATATAGCTCCAGATGGGCTCTTTTTCAAGCATGGTACTCCGCTGCTTGAAAAAAAGTCAATTTTGAGACTAGAAACGACACAATTGTAATACAGAGAATGTGCTTGCTTTAATAAAGAGCTATATGGACAAAACATTTGGATATATAAGGCTTCTGTGCAGATGTCATTTTGATTTGCCTAATTCAGGTCTTTAAGTTGTCATTCTTTTGACTATGCCAGTTGAAATATATGTTACAAAATACTGCATTCTTAGTCTAAGTTTTTTGATTATTTACTGTCTTCGTATATTCATTTATTTAATAATTCCACTTTTCTTTATATTTTGTTCCATGTTTATAATTTGAACATTTAAAACCTTGTACACTTTAAAGCGAACCTGTGCTTTGTTCATGCAGCTGCACATGCTTACCGTCTATTGTCTCAGCCACCACTCTGTTTGGCACTCGGCAGTGAAGGTAAAAAGCCCTATATAACCTCCAATTTATTACTTACACACCCCATACATACATACTTACACACATACTGACAAGACCCCCACCCATCCCCAATGTGTAACTAAACCAAAAAGATAGCCAAACACTTACCTTAAAGTGGAAATTTACCCATAACCACTTGATAAAAAATAATGTTCCTTAGCAAGGAACATACTGTAAATTCCACATTAATTATGCTACCAAATTTAGTGTGTGCTGTAAACTGCAGTGGTGCACCGAAATGAAAATTCTGGTGCCGAAACCGAAAACAAAAATTCAAAATGCACTTTGCCGAAAACTGAAATGCGCAGTTTTTAAAAATATATATTTTTTGGAAAAAAATACAATTTGATTAAAAAAAAAAAAAAAAACAATATATACCCTAATTGTTTTGTAAAATATGTAAGAGGATGTTACGGCGAGTAAATAGATACCAAACATGTTGCGCACACTCGTAGAATGGCATGAAACTGCGGTACTTAAAAATCTTCATGCGTGATGCTTTAAAAATTTCTACAGGTTAGCAGTGTAAAGTTACAGAAGAGGTCTAGTGCTAGATTGCTCTTGCTCCGACGTTGATGGCGATACCTCACGTGTGTAGTTTGAACACTGTTGCACTGTTTCTTTTATAAAAAAATTGTAATCACTTTTATTCTTATCACAACAAATGCATGCATTCCTTGTGATAGGAATAATTAGTGACATGTCCTCTTTATGGAGAGATATGGGGTCAACAAGACCCCACATCTCTCCTCTGCAATGTAAAGCATTAGATTAAAAAAAAAAAAGCATTGATCTAGTGCTTTAAAAAAAAAAAAAGATAAAAAAAAAAAAGGCCGGAACCGGAAGCGACATTGCTCCAGTCCTCCAAGGGCATAGAAATGCGTGGCGGCCATCTTTCCTTCACACATCTCTATGCCCAGCACCGAGATCGATGGTTTCTCAGGTAAAACTGAACTCCCGAGCACACGGCCGGGCAGCTTTGAGGGGGGCGGGTTTTTTCGGCACCTGTATCTGCGCTTTTTTTTTTTTCATTTCGTCCGACAGCCAAAAGGGGCGTTTTCGGCCTAAACTGAATTTTGGTGCATCCCTAGTAAATTGCCTCTGTTTCTTTTTGTAGAAGGATGCTATTTTTGCAGAAGCCCAGAGCCCCTGAGCTGCAGTGAATCTTTAGGATTTCAGCAGATGGTCCTGTAGTGGCTCTGATTTTCAGCATAGTGCCTAAAATAGAGAGCAAATGAGCGTGTGCAGAGCAGTGTATTACTGGATTTTAAACAGTATAGGCACCTATTTTTAATGTTTTACACAGCTAGATTTCCAAAAGGGGCCAGCCTTAAGTGGTCTAGCAGGACTTCATTTTCTGACTAAAGTTCCAATTTAAGCTGTGTCCATACACTAGTAGAATTTTTTTTGCAGTTTTCTGAACATTTCTTCGATTTTCTGTTAGTTAGTGGGGTCAAATGGATGTTTGCTTTTTGACTGTAGTGATGAGAAAAATTGAAGTTGCAAGATGGAAAATTTTTCTCTAAGAAATTTCTAAGCGTGAATGTGGTTTTCATTGAGAAAAGTCCAATTGTTACAAAATCAAATGTTAAAAGCAAATTAAAGTTTGATGTAGTCATCGAATGCACTGAGAATGTTTGTATGAATTTTCATACGAACATTAGTTCGAAAATCTATTAGTGTATTGCCAGCTTTAGGAGTTCAAAGTCTTTTTATTGATTCGACAAGAAATCAACAAATAAGACAGTCAATGAAGGCTTATGTCAGTATCAGTGCCAAAGTTTCTCAGCATGTAACTTGCTCAGTTTGGGTGACCCCTATCTTGGAGCGGAGGGGGGGGGGGTCCATTCTGTTTTGTGTTGAGCTGCCAAACCCAAACCATAGGGCTGAAAATAATGACTTTTCTCCACTAACTGAAGACTTGTGTCCAGCACCTCATTTCTACCATTTCCAAGAACTCCCTCATGTGACAGAGCTGAGTGCCGAGGCATAAATTAATCCGTTTTTTTTTGTCACATATGCGCAGTATGAACAGTTCGATTTTTAACAGATGAAAAACACATTAATATTTCAATTTATTGTCTGTTCAGAAGTTTTCCAAACTTTTCCTTCGATTTTTGGCTCCAAATTGTCACTACCGATTTTCGATTTGTGCCCATTAACTGGACAAAAAAATGAACAAACTGTCCAAATGACAGATTTTCAAACAATTTTTCGTCTAGTATATGGCCACCATTACAGTTTCTTTGCACCTTTTTATCCTTTCCAAGTCAATAGGAGTGCAGAAGCTTTTTAAATAATACTAAATGCCATTTGTATTTGCTCATCCACACAAGCCCTAACACACACACACTTGTAATTGGTATAAGTAGCTCTTTCACATAATATCGCTTTTTTTCATTTAAGCTTTAACTGCCCTTTAAACAGCACAAATGGGAATGTAAACATAATAGGTATAGCACAACTGAAACAGACGTTTCGTTTTCAGAGATGTCATTGACTAAATGGTGGATTTTACATTTGCCTGCAGTTCTACAAAATCAGATTTAAAGAAAACCAGTCAGGATTTGTTAACAAAATTTACTGCCACAGCCCAAGAAACATACTGACATTTCAAATCATTTTTGGGAGCCCGAAACAGCCTATGATCCTGAGCATTTGTTACAACACAGGTCTAAAAGTGTATACAAACCCCAACAATAAACTCCTCTTGTTTGCTTCCTTTTTCTATCCGAGAAATAGTTTGAGTATAAAACAATTGCTTATTGATCCTCCTGGAGTTTTGTGCATGCTGCAGTTTTATCAGCCCTGCCCAGTTCACCTCTGAAAACAGAACACCCTCCATTCTATGGCCTCTTGCACACAGGAGTAAAAAAACGCCACTTTTTTACGGATTTGAAACTAGATGCATTGCGGTCTATGGAACAATGCACACAGCAAAGTAAAGCTGGGGACACACTATAAGAAAATCAGGTGAATGATCGCCCGGTTTTTCCTTAATGTTTCACAGCAAGTTGAACCCGAAGATGGTAATAATTGTACAAAAATACTCTGACAAAGGCTTTTTTTTTTTTTGATGTAGAAAAGTTGTAGTATAGATTATTGTTTGTTTCTGATCATGTGCAGTGCTTTGTATCTGGCTTTCCTCATATGAGAACAGTACACATGAAATGAAAATCGTTCGATCTGTTCACGTAGGAGAAAAATTTTGGAGTGTGTCCCTTCAGAAATACTTATTTGGAAAGTCTGAATCCGATGTCGAAGGTTGTATACACGCTATACAAAAATCAGATGATCGCTCCTCGTACGGAATTGTTCTTCTGACTTTCTCATAGTATGTACCCCGCTTAAAGATCAGTAATACAGCGATAAGTACAAAGCCGTAAAATGAAAATAGGAAATTTTACATTTGAGTGCAGTAATTTCCGCGCATGCACGTGTTTATCTGTCTATAATCATGGTCATGCGAGTATAAATGAGTATATCAAAAAACTGGCAATAGAATAGAATTTTACTTGTCTATACGCTTACGCGCCTTTACATGCCTAAATGTTTATATACGCAAGGTCTTTACAGAACATTTTACTCGGGATCTTTTTTTTGTCAACAAGATCCCGAGTATAATCATCATTAAATTATTACGGCTGTGTGCAGTTAGCCATACTGATTTGAAATGAGAAGCATTGTTGTAAATGGAACAATGCACACAGCTGAGTTAAAGATCAGTAATACAGTGATGAGTACAGAGCCATAAAGCAAAAATAAAAAAATTATACATTTGACTGCAGTAATTTACGTGCACGCCTGTGTTGTCTATAAGCAGGTTTACCTGAGTATAAATGAGTATATTACAAAACAGACAATGAAGAAGAATTTTACTTGTCTATATGCTTGCGCACTTTTAGGCGTCCCCCCCAAGGTATTTGCAGAACATTTTACTCAGGATATTTCTGTCAACAATATCCTGCATATAAACACCAGTAAATGTTTACGCCTGTGTGCAACTGGTCTATGCCATCAAGAAGAGAAGGGGGTGCTCTGTAGACCTGTCCTAGGGTGACAATGCTGCTCCTCCATAGATCATGGCGAGTGAGCTTTCTCACCTTAGGACAGGAAGTGTTACTGGTAGGACGAGGTGAAAAAAAGAAAACAAATCTGAAAACCTAATGCAGCCACCACTGGTATGCTGCAATAGAATACATTTTTGTTCTTGGGTTTGGATACACTTTAAGCTCACTCTTACATTGGAGATATCATCCCCCACCATCTGACTATCCACTGAGAGCACTTTATCTGCCAACAACAGATCTCTTGGCTTGGCCTACGTCCAGTGGGAGAAGTGGAACTCTTAAGTTGGAAAAGTTGAGGCCTCCATTATAATACATAATGCATATCCAGGACCTGAGGTCGGCCCAGGTGCACAGGCGATGATTTGGAATTTTTGCTGCCAGCATTTAGTATACAAATATAATAAATGCTGACACATTGGTTCTAAAAGATCAGGTGGGTTGCTGAGCAGTACATGATTACATTTGGATAACGGTTTGAGGCTTATAAAAACACAGTAAATAGGATCACAAAGTTATACATAAATGCAATGTCCTTTCAGACACAATTTGTTTTTGTTTTTTTTGTACTCACAGGATTTAGCAATACTGTAAGGAAAAGTTCTCCACCGTTAATAATTTTGTCCAGCTCCACAGGCCCTCCGGGATATTCATTATAGAATATGGTGTGTGTGAAGAGGCCGCAGGTCTGCCGAGGTAGGACCTGCAGGAGAGATTGTAAATTTTGAAGTCAGGAATCGGGATTTCAATCTTGTTAGAACTCATTTCTGTGTTCTGTGCTGTGCTCATTAGAGAACCTAAGGAACTTTGTTCTATTTAAGTCAGGGGACACATAATAGTGTTTTTAGACAGCATCAATTTGGGCAAAACAGGACGGATCTCATTTATGGGCTGATTCTACCTGAAAATCACACAAGATGTTGTATGGCCCCAGTCTTCTGTATGCCTAAAATTTCCTCATTAACTAATAGTTATAAGAGATTTGCATAATTTGTTTTTTTTTGCTGTCATTACTACAAGAGGGAAAAAAAGCCTTTTACTTGGTAAAAGGTTAATAAAAGTCTCACCTTTTGTCTACAAAAGGGAATGTATCAATGATGTTTTAGATTTCTATGTGTAAGGCCCATGTGATATCTGTGATCCATGTCAACGACAGAATCACTTTCCAAGGCAGAGAAATACTCACTTGTTTTCAATTTGACGCTTCTGTGCTGCTCACATGAGTGTTTATTGTTACGTGACATCCTGCAGTGTTTCTGTCACCAAGAAGCAGGTATTTTCTTTGTCTTTTTTGGTTTTCCTGTTCCTGGTATATTTACTTATTTCTTTGTCATTTTCTGATTGGTATTCACACATGATTTTTCACAATTAAAGTATTACTAAACCCAGGACCCTGCTTTCACTATATCTGGTCTCCCGCAGTACACAGAACATGGAAATGCAATTATTTCAGTAAATACACTGCTCAAAAAAATTAAAGGAATACTTTGAAAACACATAAGATCTCAATGAGGAAAAATATCATGGTGGATATCTATACTGATATGGACTGGGTAATGTGTTAGGAATGTAAGGATGCCCCGTTGTTTGAAGAAAACAATCAACCTACAGAGGACTGAATTCAAAGACACCCCAAAAATCAAAGTGAAAAAAATGATGCAGCAGGCTAGTCCATTTTACTGAAATGTCATTGCAGCAACTCAAAATGGTCCTCAGTAGTTTGTATGGCCCCCATGTGCTTGTATGTATGCCTGAAAACATCGGGGGAGGCTCCTAATGAGAGGACGGATGGTGTCCTGGGGTATTGCCTCCCAGATCTGGACCAGGGCATCACTGAACTCCTGGACAGTCTGAGGTACAACCCGACGGCGTCGGATGGACCGAAACATGATATCCCAGAGGTGTTCTATTAGATTTAGGTCAGACGAGCGTGGGGGCCCATTCAATGGTATCAATTCCTTCATCCTCCAAGAAATGCCTACATACTTTTGCCACATGAGACCAGGCATTGTTGTGCACCAGGAGGAACCTAGGACCCACTGCACCATTGTAGGATCTGACAATGGGTCCAAGGATTTCATCCCTATACCTAATGGCAGTCAGGGTGCCATTGTCTAGCCTGTAGAGGTCTGTGTCCCTCCATGGATATGCCTCCCCAGACCATCACTGACCCACCACCAAAACGGTCATGCTGAAGGATGTTACAGGCAGCATAATGTTCTCCACAACTTCTCCAGACCCTTTCACGTCTGTCACATGTGCTCAGGGTGAACCTGCTCTCATCTGTGAAAAGCACAGGGCACCAGTGGCAAATGCCAATCGAGCTCTATGGTTCTGGGCAGTGAGCAAAGGGCCCACTAGAGGATGTCCGGCCCTCAGGCCACCCTCATGAAGTCTGTTTCATTGTTTGGTCAGAGACATTCACACCAGTGGCCTGCTGGTAATGCATGCATGTCATGAAGTGACAGAAGTGACTCATGCATATTACAGAGGAATGAGGCAGCAGACAGAAATGACACCTAGTGTTCTGGATTGAGACAAGCACACACTATAGAGGGATATGCGTTGCTCATATTTCATGTCTGAGGATTACAAATCACTTCAAGCTACTGTTGCAGCATTTATCTAAACTTAAGAACATTTTGTATCTTAATGCATTGCTTGAGGTAAGGTAAAACTTAAGTTCAGTGCTCCCCCTTCCCCGTGTAAAGGGGAAGAGAAGGGGGGGAAGAGATCTTAGCTGTGCACGGCTGCATCTCTACTACCCTCTTCACACAGGGACTTGAACAGCAGCAGAAGCCATTGGAGGGGGGGCTCTTGCTGCTTTCAATCAAGTGCGGTGAAGAGTAAGTGGGGGGCAGGGCTTAGTCCCACCGTGTGTCTATGGAGCGGGGCTCCATAGACACACAGGTTGGGAGAGAGCACGCAACACTTGTCCCCATAGCAAACGGCTTGCTAAGGGGACACACAGAGGAGGAGGGGCCAGGCTCGCCGGCAGGGGACCTGAGTAAAGGAGAATTGGTCCCTCTATGCAATACCACTGCACAGAGCAGGTGAGTATAACATGTTTGTTATTTTAATTCTAAAAGACAAAATTTGGCCTTTAGTAACACTTTAAAACCCAATTACAGTTTCCACAAAAAACTATACAGAACAAAAAGCTCATCTGCTGTCTGGTTAATAACAACCATCATGCAATCGATTCAGGACTAACCATGATTCCACTGTGGATAAAGCCCCTCCTAAACCGTGCAGGCTTCAGATGAGGGTACTCCTCTGTGCTGGTCACCTTGATTCCCCAGATCTGCTTCCAAGCCTCATACAGCTGTACATGAATGGGATAGACACCAGAGTGATGGGGGGCTACGGCATAGCCCATATCAGTGGGGATACCATGTTCCTAAAATAAAACCAAGACATTTGATTTGTAATATAAAATAAAACAAACATTCTTCCACTGGAGACACAATGGTTTAAAGCCAATCTCTATTAAAGCAGCGTAATACACATATGAAAATAAATGTATGGGAAACAATTCACCTGCCAAAAAACTTGTAGTATTCGGTGTCAAATTTTGTGATCCAGGAAACCCCGCTAGATGCTCAATTTCTGCAGTAGCAGCACAGCATAGTCAAGTACAAACCTCTGCCTGCTGATTGCACATTGAGCCCTGGTTCACACTGAATTTGCAGCGTTTTCTGTGTGAATTCTGCACCACATCAGAATCGCACCCCGTTCATGCGAACTGCTGCGGGTGTGTATTTTAAGTAAATAACACCCGCAAAATGCGGTACAATGTGCAGAATCAGATCGCATAGATATGAATACCCATGCAATCCAATTCTAGTGCAGACCCAAAAAAGGGTCCTGCGCCTTTTTGGTGCAGGTGAGGTGCAATTAGAGCCATACAAAATGTATGGCTCCAATCGCACCGCACACAAATCGCATGTGATTTGCACAGGAATGCGGTGCGGTTCCTGTGCGAATCACATGCGATATACCACTGCATATATGTGAACCCAGGCTGAAAGAGTAGCAGAACACTGATAAGTCATCATTCTAATTACTCTGCTCTCTCTCCTACTGTTAGGCTCACTGACTGCACATGTGCATAGCCTGACTGGTTATAAGTGCTGGCTCTCTCTTTCCCAGTATTCATTACTGCTTTGCAGGGTATTACTGAAAATTAAATAAGAATATCAAGATATAGAATTGAAAAGGACAGCAGGAGGCAAGTGAAATGGGTTAATTACTCTGACCTTTATATTGTCCTAGCCAAGATCCAGAAGTCTCACTATTTCCAGCGACTAAAAAGTGCACAACTTGGAAGCATTGCCCCAACAGCACCCTATCAAGAGCTGGATCTTGGAAAGGACAGCACAGATGGAAGTGCAATTATCACATTATTGTCTTTTCTAGCTATTTTTACTGGAGCTCTCCTTTAGCAAATCAGGTACACACACTATATAGATCACACATGGCTTTTTTGTCAGTGGGAATGTGGGGGAATGCACGGCACCTCCAGTACTGAACTTATGTGTGCTTGGAGGTCTATTGATGCTTGCTGCTGGGTGATCTATTGTCACTGAAGGAGATCTATTTTTTTGTAGCAGTCTATTGTTGGTTGGGAGGTTGCAGGATTGGGATCTATTGTTGCTGGGTGGTTAATTGTTGCTGGATGGGATTTACTGGTGCAGGAGGGAGTCTACTGCTGGAGTGTCTATTAGTGCTGGCTACTGGGAGATCTATTGCTGCTAGCATGGGATTCTTTTTTTCAGTGGGGGTTCATTTTTGCTGAAGAAATCTATTGCTGCTGTGGGGTCTACTGCTGCTGGCTACGAGGGATCTATTGTACTGCTTATCTTATCATTAAATTCCATACAAATTACTTAGCAGCACAAAATGGTACTTGGCTCTGTATTCTCTAAAAGGAGCGGTACTGTGAGGTGGGCAGGGGTGAAAACAAGGGATGGTGATCGGAGGTGGGTGTGGGGGGAAGACAGAGACAAGAAATGACTAAGAAGGGGGGGCGTTCCTGCACCTATTCTCTGAGATAAAAAAAGCCCTGTGTGTACATGTAAAACACACACACACACACACACACACCTACCTTGTGTGCAGATCCTATGAAGAAACCAGGACCAGAGGATATGCAAATGGTACATAAGCCCAAAAATCAAGGAAGTCATCATGGGAGTACAAGGTAAACCACATTGGGGGGGGGGAGTTTAGCTGTAGATTCTAATCCTATTTATGAAGGTGTTACTCTTCCCTCATCATGACCATTTAATATACCATCTAAGGCATAATGGAAACTATCCAACCAAACATAAAGCACCAACTGCAGGGCATGCCTGAACCAGACGCCAAGGTCTGTGCAGGCTTCTGGGCTAATGGTAGCAGCACAAAATAATTCTGGGAGTGTTCTGCACATAATATACCCAAAGGCAGCCATACCACGAGGAAGCTACATTTATGTTTTTATATTTTTTTTTTAAAATAAAATGAGAGTTTTATATCAAAACACTGCTTTAATGAACATAGTTTATTGGGAACAACATACAATATGATGTCAATGTTGTTGGCATTATCAAAGATGGTACAGCTAGGAGTTGTGAGCATTAAATGGAAAAAGGAAGAAATAGACATTTATGGGATAGAGTAGCTGGCAGGCACAACGTACTGTAGGATGCCAGGGAGTTCCTCATGGAGGCAGACTGTGGCCAGGTGGCATCATGGCTAGAGAGAACGCACATACGTAGAGCAGCCATAATAATGACAGACGTCAACAGGAGGCTAACATAATTTCTTTGCAAGGGAGCCCTACATCAGACATGGTTCATTACTAAAAGCCATATCAACAGCAGCTGTTGTTAATGGGGTTCCGGTGGGAAGGGAAACCCTTGTGTTCTTAAATGGAAGGAAGCGAAACTAAAAGATTTTAGAATTAACGGGCATCAATGTTTTTGGCTAGTCTTTCATACATTTGTGACCAATTAAAAAATAGAGGCCTTGTAAACAACTTTTAAAGGGATATATGACCAACACACTCAAATAAATTTAGGACAGAAGAAAAATTGCAGAGAATGACATTAAAAAGATTGAACAATCAGGGCAAATGACAGATGCTCTTGCTAGACTACCATCCTACCCACCAATGCACTCCATTTGTCTCTTGGAGCCGTAGGTCTAATCTGTGTAAACTCTGTGCTGGTTTGTGTTTGTAAAACCCCTTTACATTGGGTTAATGACTTGCTTTTTTCTCCCCCAACATGACAGTGTTTGGGCTTGGCGGGAGTAAAGAGGGATGGTCACATGTTTGCTTCCTATTCCCAGAAGTAAAAGGTATTTGGAAGGGTTCAAATGAATGAATGGAACAGCAAGGGATTGTAGGGAAGGTGAGGATCAGTGGGTGGGGGTGGCTAGCAAGAGAATCTGTCACTTTGACCTGAATAGTTCACATTAGTAGTCAATTAAGCATCGCTTTGCTTTTGTCATGAAGATGCAGACCTACCAGCACTTCAGTCACCTTAAAGTACAACTGAATGGATCTAAAATGTTTCTGATGTAACAACAAAGCTGAAGTGCAAGCACCTGGTAAAGTTTTCAGATTGATTCCTGTGTTCCTATAAAGCTCATTGGATCGTATGGCACTACACAGAGATTAGGCTCTGCTTTACTGAGCAGCAAAGGCTCTGGGATTTGACAGATAAATGACAGGGGGTGGGGCTTAGATTTTGGAGGGGTGGGCTTAATATCAACTTGAGCAGAACATGAGGATTTGTACACAGCCAGGACCCTAAGATCCAAAGGGGCTTCACAGGGACAGAGATCATTCTCAAGAATAACACAAGGCCTTGTAGGCACCTGCACTTTAGCACTGTTGTTACCGGTTTGTGTCCAGGTCTACTTCACTTTACCTTTTAATGCTTCCACCAGCCTCCCTCCTATTCTAATAGAAGTGTTTGAAAGTTGGATGAATTCATGCAAGCTCTAGATATGCATCTGCATTCAGACACCATAAGAGTCAAAATAACCTGAAATAAAAACAAAGACTCACCACAGCAAATTTCCTGTTCAAGGCCATCTGCTCAGCCAGTACGGATTGGTTGTGGAAGAGGTGAGGTTGCATGTGACTCCACATATGAGGGAACCACCAGAACTGCTTGACATAAGACAGCAAGAGGTCATCTCCTTCATCTTCTGCATCAGTACCTGTGTCAGCAATCAAGGAGTACATGGAATGAAATGTGTGACCATCAACTAACCATGGTGCAAAGCACAACTGAACAAACAAAATCTTCCTCATTTTTCTGGAGCTTATTGACAGACCAATAAATATATTGTATGTCAGAGCAAAAAAAAAAACAAAAACATATGCATCTCCACAATGAATTCACATCCGCCCCATATTTTATCCCCTGCAAGTACAAAGAAATACCTGTTAATCTGCCAGCTCAGATCCTAATTTTCTGTTATGAGTTGACAGCATCCTAGAAACATTTATGAGTTGATGACATACTAGAGGACGTTTGTGAATTAAATGTGTCAGTTTTCCTGGTTGTCTTGAGCCAGGTACACATATACCAAATGTCAGCCGGTTCTGCAGAAATCGGCTAACTTTCGGTATGGTTGTACTCTTTGTTTAATAGATGGCATTCTAACGTCCGGCTTCTGTTGAAAAGTCATGCTGGAATACCAATTAAATTGGTGCTCACAACCAATGGCTGCAAGCTCTGATCAGTGTAGTCTGGTGGGGGGTTTATTTAGAATACAATAGCTCAGTGGTAGAGATCCCTGCACACACTGTTGTGTTGATGCAGGGATCTGTCATTTTTTTTTCCCGTTCAGCCCGCTGATCTGTATACACCCAGTTTTATGCTAAAATACTGAATCCACCCCAAATCTTCACAACATAGAAATTCATTGTCCTGACGCCTAAGATAAGAACTAGGAGAGCTATTTAGGAACTATGCCCAGGACAGCTCAGAATTGCTGCCATGAGAAACGTGTTTGTTTGCAATTAGGCAGCGCAGTGTATGAATGTGAGTTAGGGACCTTTAGATTGTTTGCTCCGTGAGGGTTAGGGACTGATGTGAACGAGATATATATATATATATATATATATATATATATATAGATATATATATATATATATAAATAACATTGTTAGGATTTGCATACACTTTAACCATCTCAGGATTTAGGATGTTAGAGAACATTTCTAAAAAAAAAAAAAAAAAAAAAAAGAAAAAAAAAACAAGTTTTTAGATGCATCTCTAACATACAGATCCCCTTCCTCACCCCACTCCACTATAAACAACAATTACCGTCTGTCAAAACACAGTAGATCCTGTGTTAAGTCTTGTACACACGATCAGAAAATTGTATGAAAAATACCGCTTTCGAAGCGATCATACGATAATCTGACCGTTCCTACACAGCTTTCATCCGAAATTGTCCAAAGGGAAAGAAAATTTTTCTTGTACGATGCCAGATCATACAATTTTTGTTTAATCAGTACAGTATGTGTCTGAAAACAATGCAGAAGAGCAAGACCACGCATGTTCAGAAATGAAAGAATACATTACAACATTCAAACTGCTAACACTGACGTACAAAGCTGTCCATAATTCTGCCCCCAACTACATCACCGACCTAATATCCAAATACCACCCAAAACGCACTCTCCGCTCCTCACAATACCTCCTTCTCTCTAGTTCCCTGATCTCCTCCTCCCATGCCCGCCTCCAGGACTTCCCCAGGGCATCCCCCATCCTCTGGAACTCCCTACCCCAATCCATCAGACTATCACCCACTCTCCTCTCCTTTAGGAGCACCCTAAAAACCCACCTCTTCAGAGAAGCCTACCCCACCCTCTGCTAATTGCCGATCTCCTCCACTCTTCCTACCACTCCATCCCCCACAGTTTTCCTCCCATACCACTATCCCCTCCCTTCTAGACTGTAAGCTCCAAGGAGCAGGGCCCTCGAACCCCTCGTGTTTCGCACTGTATTGTTATTGTACTGTCTTGTGTACTGTCTCCCATTGAAATGTACAGCACTGAGTGAACTGTTGGCGCTATATAAATACTGTAATAATAACAAAAATAATTACAACACATTACATCACTTTCGAGATTGTATTTTGTCGTACAATAATTTTTGTAACTTTAGTAACCTCTTCATTTTTGATATGAGACCAGCATGCAAAAAAACCTCCCAAAAAACAGACGATCATTCATCTGATATTCTCGTGTGTAACAGGCATTAGGTGACACTTGCAGATAGTCTGCAGATGTCTTCAAGTGGTAGTAAAGCCACTTTGTTCACTTTTACCAACAAGTAAACTTACCTGTAGGTAAAATGAATATCTCCTAAACGTCCACCATTTAGGAGATTTTAGTTTTTGTTTATTTTTTTTATTTTTTTTTTTTTTTAGAGCCGCCACATGTGCTGCGTCATGTCCTGAGACTCATGTGTGCGGGAATGACATCATCACAGCTCAGCCAGTCAGATGGCTGGAGCTCACGAATCCAGAAGGAAGACCAGGTGAAGATGGAAGCCATGTCAGCGGGGACAGCACTCCGCTGGAGGGATTCATTTTCAGGTAAGTTTTATATAATGTACTAGTATGTGATGCATACAAGCACATTATGCCTTTACTTTGAAGGGCTTTTTTTTTTTGCTTTTTTGGATGCGGTTTACTGGCCATACATGCTTCAGTAATTTTTGTTCAGCCAGTAGGCTGACTGAATAAAACTGAACTGGTTCCCCCCATCCACACAATCGATGTGGATCCTCCCCATTGGGCAGAGACTCCTCTGCTGTCAGAATACACAGAACGGCACTGATCGAGCAGCTGTTTTCCAACCAGTCAGTTCAAAAGAAGTCAATCAATAGATTGACTTCTATTGAGCAGCAATGGCCACAGATCCAGAATTAAGCTGGTCCCTGCTGGAACGGACAAATTCAAATCCATCTATAGCCACAGTTAGAGTAAATGACCTTGGAAATAACATCACTTAAAGAAAACTAGTTAATGATTTTCTTTCCCATTCTTTTTCCTATTAACCCTTCGTTAACTCTAATCACCCCTAATTGACCTCTTGCTTCCATTTAGCTGCTATTTTAATTTTTATTAAAAAATATCATATATAGTATTAGTTTAACAAAAAAAAAGCATTTTTGGTTCACATTTCAGAAAAAAATTCTAAAATATTTACACTAAAACCACAAAAAAAAACAAAAAAAAAAACAAAACTGTTTTGTACAATTTTTGTTTAAAAGTTTATTTTAAAAAATTTTTTGCAAAAAAAAAAAAAAAAACACAAAAAAAAAATATTGTCAACTTTTTCCCCCCAAAAAAGCAAGGTGTGGATTATCTTAGAGTGGGAGTTGTCCTTTGTTGTCTTGTACCTACAGGTAGGCCTATGATAAGACTTACCTGTAGGTACAGTAAATACCTCCTAAATGTGCACCATTCAAATGGCTGGAGTCTGCGAACCTAGAAGAAAGATCAGGTGAAGATTGATTCCCTGTCAGCAGTGATAGGGTGCTGCTGGAGGGATCCATTTCACAGGTAAGTCTGTCATAATGTGCTAATATGCAGTGCATACTAGCACATTATGACATTACTTTCCTGGGGGGGGGGGGGGGGGGGGGTCGTTTACTACTGCTTTAAGTGTGGACAAAAATGATCGACTAATAAACAGACCTATAGAGATGAGCAAAAAACACAGAACAAAGCATTATGAAAATAATAATTTTATGTGAGCCTTTTTCCATGTGATTTCCTCTAATGCTGGGGGGGGAATCACTTTTTGTATATTTGCATTTTCTATGTATTTAAAGGGTAAGTTCAGCTTTGGGAGCATGTAACATGTTCCACCCGTTTTTAGGGTGGCACATGTAACTTGTTCCCAGTGTTGCAGCCGCTGCCCAATCCCATACGGGCAAGCAGATATACGGACAGGTCTGCAGGAGACATACATGGCACCAGCGATCTGCTGATTGCTAGGGCAATGCTTTACAGGCTTCTGCAAAAAAAAAAATAAAAACACACATTTTATACCTGAAAAAGGTGAACTTATCCTTTAATAAAGCACTTTTTTATGACCACACCCAGCCACAATTATTGTCACCGAAATAATGGCTTTTTAAACAGGTCATTCTATTACAGGGTCCCCCTTTTTTCCTATAGAAAAAAAATGGCAAAATTGCTCTTGTCCTATACAGGTACAAGAGTTGGTGTGGTTAAAGTGTGGGAGTGACTTTTAGAGCCTAAAGTGAATCTTTCACTTTGTCATTCAGAGTAAAGTGAATTGTTCCATTGTTAGGGCAGGAGTGCTGAGAAATGCCTGATAATCCTTTGTCACTTTTCCCCTATTTCTCAGTTCTTGGCCCTCCAGGCATGGACAGAGACAGGCATGGACAGAGACATGTGTGGGTGGGGAAAGGGTCATTAGTCCTGTGTCAGCTCTGACATTGACTAACAAAGCTTTAGTAAAAGCCCAAGTTATCAGAAGAGAAGGTTACATGAAAAAGCACCGACCAGACTCAACTAGGATTCCTAGACTACGCAACGGCCCCTTGACCTTACATGTCCTTACAACTTCAGTGACTTAAAAAGACATTCATTACAATAAAGTCAATTTGGTGCACTTGTCATTTTTGAAAACTGTTCCAAATGCAAATGTTCCTTTAAATGCCCAATCCCCCTCTCTGGGTAACACAAAATTGTACCTGTAGGCTAGAAAACAATTAGCAAAGTAATATGAGCCACCTATTTTATATGAATGTGCTGGCTCTTGTGCTATTTGAGCCTACCTAACAAATCTGTTCAGCCCCTCCTGTGATTTACATACCACTACCACATTACAAAGCCAGGCAAGAGACACAGCAATTTTTTGGTAGTGCTTTGCAGCCTTTGTGGTTGTGTACTGTGACAGGGGAGTAAGGGCCAATTCACACTGAGTTGCGCTAAAATACATATACATTTCAATCCATTACAGTCACGTTTTAATGCGCAATGACGTCCTTTGATATATATTTTGCATTTTTGCGCAATGCAAAGTTATGGTGTTAATAAGACACATTGGAAAGGATTGCTTTTCAGATGTCCTTCTGTTGATCTGCATTTTACAGCTGCACTAAAACGCACTGGTGTGAATTGGCCCTAAGAGTCAAAATTTTAAGAGAAATCAAAAATCCTCCCTCTTCCTTTAAAACTTGAAGGTTCACAAGGCTATGGAAGGCCATTGGTAATCATCAATATTTTCCACACATGGAGACCTGCAGTTCTTAAAATAATTTGTAAATTAATTGTAAATTATTACCTCTTATCTAAATAAAAGCAGAGATAGGCAGGAACACTGGGTAACTACATCCAAAATGGTTTACCTGAATTAGTAATGAAGCACGAAGAACACCTCTGATGGGTTTTTTATTGTTGTCTTGCACTTTTTGGATACATTTTTTCCCCTCACTTGCTGTCCTTCTGAAGGTGGTCACTAAGACATAAGGAGAGAGCAAATCTCTCTAAGAACCGGTTCACACCATAGAAACGCAGTCCAGATGCGTTCTGGATGTGTTTCTGCATGCGCGTTTTTGGTGTGTTCCATTGCTTTTTTTTTTATGTGTTTTTGACGCGTTTCAGTTTATTTTTTCTCTTTTTCTTCATTTTAAATAGGGACATGTGCGTTCCAGTGTATTTTTGGTGCATTCCGGTGCGTTTTTTATGCATTTTACCATTTTCCAGAACAGTTCTGTGCAGGAAAAAAAATGCAGCCTGTTCTGCTTTTTGTTTTCTGCAACCGGAACTACAAGCACTGATGTGAACTATGACACTGACAACCATATAACCTACTTTCTGTGCGTTTTGGATGCAGAAAAAAAGCAACTGAAATGCATGTAGTGTGAACTGGCCCTAAGACAGGCATCATTGATGGTATTTTTTTTTTTTTAGTATAAAGTAGAAGGTGAGACCTTAGGGTGTGTTTTTGCTTTTCCACTGAGATTTCCTCACTTCCTGTCTATGTGACAACAGTCAGCAGATTGTACTGAAAGGACATAGGCATCAATTAACTGAAATAACCCTCACCCACTCTATACAAAACTAAAAATCAGAGAAAGCGAGAAATGAAATAGATGAAAGAGGTGTCTCATTCAGGTCTATTTATACCCACTCTAGCTGCTATTTGAAAATTACATAGAAAGTTCCACCTGCTTGATGAAAAGTGCTAAATAGGATTGATTCTTATGCAACATATCATGTATATACAATTCAAAAAATAAAAAGCAAATACTATTTTTGCTGTAGAAACATCTAAAGTAAATATAAATAAACTTCATCAAGACCTGGTTCCCATATATGTGAATTCGATGTGGTTTGAACTGCATGACATGTGAACCAAAAGCCTTTTCACACATGTGCAGGCTGGCCACAGTGTGATTTGTAAAAGTCTTTTGCCATTTTCAGTCTGGTTCAGGTGTGGTTTCCAATGTCATATACTTTAACAATTTGCATTGGAATTGTACCTAAACTGCTGAAAGAAATCGCACCGTTCTCTCTTACAAGTCGCACTGCAAACCGAACTCCCACATATGTGAACCCATGTTTAAGGACTAATTTATGCCCTGTATTTGTCACCTACCTGTATGGAAGAACTTTCCAGAAAAGCCAAGATTGAAGGTGAAATTGGGGATGTGCGTTCTTAACTCATTCTGGGTGTCATACAGTGCCTGAAACAAAATGGTAGCAGTCACACACAAGTATAATCCAAAACTACAACCATAGTCGTAAGATGAAAGCTTACATTATTACTACCATACTAAGCATGCCTACCTTTACATCTTCTACTTTCATGCGAGTTCCCTCCTTCCCAACAAATATATCGTCAATATCCACAAGTACATAGCGGTTGAGGGGAAGAGACAACCTTTTCCCAGTCAAGAATGATACTGCATCCACAAACACCAGCTTATGAAGCCAGAAGTTCAAGTTGTTACCAAAAAGCACCCTTTGGATGCCATCATGCAGTCCCAGGTCCTGGACCACCGTTGTGTGGAGGGCCGCGTCTACGCTGAGGTGAGGTATAGTCTCTGCTGACTTGGTCTTGGCCAGTAGAACTGGTTCATAAGTGGTGTGGTTGGACTGGAACACTGTCCAGTCTTCTCCTGGTAGTTCACCTTTTTCCACCTGGTTGGGCTTGGTTATATACAAAAGAGGAGATTTGGGATTGATGCTGCAGTCCTTGAGGCCTAGATTGGAGTGAAGGTATAGGGGAAAGCCTTTCAGCTGGGCACTAAGTAGACTGTTTTCATTGGCCTGTAGTAAAAAGAAAGAAAAAAAAATAGTATGTTTATTGTCAATAAAAACAACACTCAAAGAAAATTTAAAGTGGAGTTCCACTCACCCTGTCAAAAAAGAAAAAACTGTAGCTGCTGACTTTTAAAAAACAGCCACTTACCTGTCCCTCAGTGTGTCCCCCGCAGACCGTTTCACCGGCCGTCCTGTATTCAAGGAGGCCGCCATCTTCAGTGTGGGCATCCAGCTGTGTTAGCTTGCGGCTTCACAGCCAGGTACCCACTGCGCATGCACGAGTAGCGCTGCGCTTCATGAATGGTCCTGTAGTCTTCTGGGACCTGTCACGTGTCCCAAAAGACTACAGGGAGGGAGGGAGGACACCATCCGTTTCCGATTGCCTAGGCCAGGGGGTAGGCAACCTGCGGCTCTCTAGCTCATGTGGCACTACATTTCCCATGAGACATTGCAAAATTCACAGTTACAGCTATGACTTGCAGAGGCATGATGGAACTTGTAGTCCTGCAACAGCTGGAGAGCCGCAGGTTGCCTACCCCTGGCATAGGCGATCGGGCCGGACGTGGGAGCGGGTACCTTTTAAATTCGGGTACCCGCTCCCTCCAGGTGCCAATCCTTAATGGGGAGCGGGGAAGCAGTCCTTAAAGCAGAACTTCCCTTTTGGGTGGAGCTCTGCTTTAAAGTAACTCCAATGAACATTTTTTGGATAGGATGTGGAATAATTTGAACCTTGATGACCATTGTCACTGCTACTGGAAGCAAAGGCCATCTTAGCATAGGCAAAGCCAAGTTCATTTTAAAGCTGACGTTTAGTATTTTTATTTTTTGGAGGGGGGGGGGGGGCGGAATACAGCACCAGACACACTAGTTACACGTAAAGGTGTGTATACCAGGTTGCTGCATTTTGTAACAATATTCCCTTCAGTACCTCCTTCACAACCCCTGGACATTTCCCTGATTGTGACAGTTAAGATGCGCCACTCAACCACCCCTTCTGCCTTCCCCACCATTCAGAGATACTGAATTACAATTCGCACACAATGCAATGCATTCTATGATTGAGTGGTGGCGATCCTGTAATTCATCAGCTCCTCCTCTATTCATAGAATACAAAGCATTGTGTGAGATTATTACCACAAGCTCTCCAAGTTTACAAGAAGCAGCAGCCTGCAGATAATGGGACACACACCATCACTATACAAAACACAGGTCACACAATTATGCGGTCACTTTATAAAGCTTTAATTAACCAGCAAGAACACACAGACACCCCCCATCTGTAGACCACCCTGCCCATATAGGCTTAATCAGAGATAGGTGTGGTCAGGGTGATTTATAAACAACATAATCAACATCCAAATAATTCAAATCCTACACAGACAATCAAATTTCACATGTGCAGACTCTGCGCTGATCAAGTAGGGGATCCACTCACAGATCCCCTGCTGATCAAAGCAGAGTGGACAGATGACAGGTCTGTGTCCTCTCAGTTTATGCAGAGCAGACATGGACAGAGCCGGCTCTCTGCTCTATAGGCAGCCGGGTGTACACAGACTCTGCTACCCATTTAGACCTGATTGCCCTCTGATCTGCCTACTAGGAGGAGAATAGATCCCCTTCTGTTTGTTTTTAGGGGACTGAATTGGAGGTAGGCGGGTATAAACAACCACAAGTCTGTTTACACCTGCCAGTCCATAGGGATGAAGGGACCGCCGTCCAGGTCAGCTTGAAAAACTGACTGGCAGACCTGATCGGAACGGTCATGTTAAAGATGCCCTACAGTGGTAGAAAACTCTCTGCAAGGATTATTACCTACAGGTAAGCTTCCAATACAGTTACCTGTAGTTAAAATGAATATCTCCTGAACGTGCACCTTTTAGGAGACATTCCAGCTAGCAGCAGGTGACGTCACCGGAGCATGCACTCTGAAAGAACAGCATACTCGTGCCGTTACTTCAAAATTCTGTACAGTGCCCTGCGCGGAAGTGACGTCATCGCGGTTCAGCCACTCAGACAACCGGTGCTCACGAATCTGGAAGAAAGACCGAGTGAAGATGGAAGGCCTGTGAGCGGTGACAGCCTGCCACTGGAGGGCTTCATTTTAAGGTATTTCATAATGTGCTAGTATTTAATACATACCTTGCAGGGGTATGTATCAATGTATAACCTTGCAGGGGGGAAACTTTTTTTAAATTTTTTTAGAAGGTTTATGAACGCTTTAACCAGATACTATGTACAAACCTACATTCCTGGCAGGGAGAGAGGATGTGTCCAAAGCACATACTTCCTTACTAGTACCTGTCTAAAGATCATTCCAGAACTATGGAGTTTTACTGAACACAAATAAGTGAATTCCACTTTATCGTGTGGTTAAACTATTTTCAGTGAACAGGGTTAACAGTTTGTTTATGGAATTTGATTATCTGGATCATTATATTATCATTTATTACAGGTACTTATATAGTGCTGTCAATTTACACAGCGCTTTACACACACACACACTACATTCACATCAGTCCCTAACCCTCAAGGGGTGTACAATCTAAGGTCCCTAACTCACATTCATACATACACATACAAGGGCCAATTTAGATAGGTGCCAATTCACCTGCCAGCATTTGTTTGGAGTGTGGGAGGAAACCGGAGTACCCGGAGGAAACCCACACAGGCACAGGGAGAACATGCAAACACCAGGCAGGTGGTGCTGTGGTTGGGATTCCAACCAACGACCCTAGTACTGCCAGGCAGAAGTGCTAACCATTTAGCCAGTGTGCTGCCCATATACACACACACACACAAATACATACATACACACGGCTCAGCATAAATGAGTACACCCCAACAGATTTGTCAGAAAACCTTTCCTTTCAGAATCAACATTTTCTATGGGACACTATAATACAAAATACTCCCACAAATACAGGCCATTGATTGCAAACAAGATACGTTCAATTGCACACAGAAAAAGCATTTTTCCTAACAAATTCATTCAAAATGAATACACCCCAATGAAAGTCTTAAGCAGGTCATACATGGGTTGAATTCATAACGATTTTTCGATCGAAAATCAAACATTGTTCGTTCTGTAATCCGATGCTGCCACCAATGATTTTGAAAATCGGTTGTTATTCACGAATTTCCAGCATTCCTGATAAACGAAATGGGGAGGAACCACAGAAAAAAAAACAAAAAAAATCGGCCAGTGCCATTGCCCCACTAACAGAGCGAAAATCGGCTGATTATTCTTAGGTCCAATTTTCAAACAAAAAAATTGTTCGAAAATCGACCCATGTATGGCCGGCCTTAGGAGCAAAGCTAAATTTTAGACAACTAAATCCCAATTAACAAGAATTCTACGACAGGTGAGTCTCATTCATTAAACAGATTTCCAGCAGACAGTTGATTATAAAGGGGCGTTACTTAAAGAAATCCCCTTTCCATTTCATGTTGTCAGCAAAGGCACCACATGGAAGAGAAATGTCACAACACCTGAGAGAAAAAAATAATTTCTTTACACAAGAAAAGTGAAGGCTACAAGATGATCAGCCAGAGCTTTACTTATTAGTTAGAATACTGTAGAAAAAGTGATACAAAAATTTAACAAAGATGGAACTGCAACCATCTCACAGAGATGTCCAGGCCATCCACGGAAGTTAACACCTTGACAGGAGTGTCTTTTGAAGGGTTGAATAAAATCACCATGCAAGTTCACGGTTTGCTAAAGAAGTAGAAAGCCAAACTGGGGTGATTGTTTCCTGTGACACAATACGGCATACACTGCAGAGGAATCGCATGTATGGGAGTCTCCACAAAGGAAGCCTCCTTTAAAGCCCATGCACAAAAAAACCCACCTAGAATTCGTCAGGGCCCATGCTGAAAAAGAAGAATACTGGGACTCTGTACTCTGGAGTGGTGAGACCGAGATAAATGTTTTTGGAACCAATGGCTTCAAAACTGTATGGTGTCGCAAAGGTGAGGAATACAAAAAAAAAATGCATGGTGCCTACAGTGAAACATGGTGGTGGCAGTGTCCTTCTGTGGTGCTGCATGAGTGCTGTTGGTGTCGGGGAGCTGCATTTTATAGATGGCATCATGAATTCAGAGGTACTGGTCTATATTGAAAGAGCAGATGCTACCATTACTCCTTGCCCTTGATCGTCGTGCACTTCTCCAACATGACAATGATCCAAAACACATCTAAGGCCAATGTTGCATTTCTGAAGAACAGGGTGAAAGTCTTCTGATCTGAAATAAACTGAACACCTATGGGGAATTCTGAAGAGACAAGCTGAGCATCACTCTCCATCCAGCATCCAGGCTCTAAAGATGTCATTCTTGAAGAATGGAAAAAGATAGATGTTGCAATATGTCACCAATTTGTTCATTCCATGCCTGGAAGACTTGGTGCTGTCCTTACAAATCATGGAGGTCATACAAAATACTAGATGTAGTAGTTTTGGTTTTGGGGTGTATTCATTTTTGCATCAACTAATTTGAGTAAAACTGAAGATTTTGTATAATACTCAGTTATATTATTAATCTTACTTTCATGTAATGAGCTAAACAAATGTTCTATAAATCTAAGTTTTGTCAAAATTTTGGAAATTGTTCTTATGTTCATTAAAATATTGATTACAATCTTACTTTTCAAAATTGGTGTACTCATTTATGCTGAGCACTATCTATATATCTAAATAAAAATAAAAGTATGCCCCCATCTCTATGATTGAGACTGTATGGGTGAAACGCATTCAAGAGGGCTGGTCTTCTGTTGGAGGTCTCCATGTGTTTGTGCTGGCTGAATAAAGTTTTACAACTGACAACATCAGTGTGCAACCCTGTGTTGTGATAGTTACTATGAAATGAAGAATATCCAACATGCATGGGACCAAAACTGAGGAGGATTGAGAAGGGCTTGCACCAGTGCCTTTACTTAGAATCTGCAGACTAATGCGGGCCATAGATGGGTCGAAAATCGGCCGATTTTTCGGCCGAAAATAAAATCGGCCGGTTTTCGG